GCCTACTAACTTGCACTTAATAATAGGGACTCTAGTATAACTAGTATTAGCCTAAATCTACTTTTAAATAGGTATACTATAGACACGCTATAAAAGATAATATTACTACTAGTAAAGCCTAAGAATCCTTATAGAGAAGCTATAATATTTTTATTATACCTATAGAGGGGTGTAGAGCTAGCGCAAGCTACTATTATATTTTAATAGTAATAATAATAGGAAGTAATAAACTAATCTTAATACCTAGCTAAAAAGTTCCTAAAAGGTAATATAGTTTAGTTTATAATATATAATATAAAGATAAACTAACTAAGTAAAAAGTTTAACTAGCTATAGGTAAAGTATAAGGTAATAGAAGTTCCTACTCTACTTATAGTAGTATTAGACTTACTAGGAAGCTTGCATAAGACCGTGCATGTGGACCTGCTAGAGAGAGCTGCTAATAACCTGCTACTAAGCTAGAAGCTTTAGGACTTACAACTAGGTCTAATAGTTACTCTAGAAAATAAAGATATAACGCTAGATAAATAGGAAGTAGAAGAGATCCTTTGTGCAAAGAATATAAGAGGAAAAGGGAAGCATTAAGTCCTAGTAAAATAGAAGGGTTATATTAATCTAATATAGCACCTGCTAGAGGTAGTGCAGGATACTAAGGCTCTAGATAGGTTTAAGGAATAGTATAGGGATGCCACGTATAATAATAGCCTAATACGCATAAAAACTAGGAAGTAAGGGCAAAAGGAAACTAGAATAACAACTTAGACTATTATTATAATTAAGAAGTAGAAAGGTATTAGAGAAATCTTTTAATTATCCTTATAACACTCTAAGTAAGTGCCCTACTACTAAAGTTTTATAATATGTCTAACAATTAGGTAGCAGTATCTATACTATTACTATCTATAACTAACCCCCCCTTAGCCCCCCCTAAACTATTATTTATATTATTCTAACGCCTCTACGTCTCTTAGTAATAGTAGTAACGCTCGCGCGCAGCGTAGGTAGGGGACGACTTAGTTAACAAGTATAAGTAGTAGCAGTAGTAGTAGTGTAAGGAGGGTAGTGCTTTAATAGTTTACTAACACGTAGCACCCTAGGCCTAAAGAAAGTAAATATTAGAATATATATAAAGAGAATAAAGGGAAATTAATACTAATAATAAGAGTCTTAATACTATAGGTAGTGCGCTTAGCAGCACTCTTAAGTTTATTAATATAAAGGTTAGTTTAGGCCTAGGTCTTGTTTATACGCTAGTTAATACGCTAGAAGGTAATACTAGTAGTAGTAGCAAGCTATATAACGTTATTATTGCTATAACTACTATATAAAGGCGTAATAGTAGACTAAAGTAGAAATACTAGAGCACTAGTAGTAGATAGAATAATAGCACTAAGCTAATACTAATTATAGGCGCGTAAGTAGGTAGTAGGGGCAAGTAGAGTAATAGCGTTATTAGTTTAAGCCCTAGATATAAGATCCTTAAAATAATAGTAGAGCTAGTAGAACTATAGTATAAACTAGTAATAGGTGCCTTTAGTAGGTTTCCCTATAAAAGTGCTAAGGGTCCCCTTCTTTACAATATAAAGGCAATCCTCCTAGTAACTATAATAAAACTAAAGCTAGTTACAGAGGGCTTAGTAAACGTTAGGATTATTAGCAAGGATAGCTTCTAACTAAGTATAAGTCTTATAGCTATAATAGCAGGACTTATATAAGCGCCCTAGACATAGTTAGAACTTGCTATAAAGAAAACAAAAATTAAGGGGAACTTACTACTACCTTCCTAATAGTTATACTTGCTAAAGAGACAAAGCTAGTTAATATACTAATTATAGGGAAGTAGCTTTATAAAACTACTATTATATTCCTTATTATCTAAGTTACTAGAAATAATAAAGCTACTAAGTAACTAGGTTTAGGGAGATATATGCTAAACAAAAAGTTAGTATAGGGAATATAGGGAGAACGTTAGAAGTACACACCTTATCCTAGTAGGCCTAGCGCGGGGTCTAACTACCTTATAGTAGATCCCTACTACTAGCACTAGTAGTAGTAGACAATAATATAATAGGGGCTAGATAGGCAGTTGATTAATAGAAAAAGAGTAGAGAGAGGGCTAATTAGTAGGGAGAATCTGTTGTATAACAAGTAAGTTTAGGAAATTTATAGTAGGGTAGGATAGCTATATTAGAACTTTTATAGTAGGGTGCTAAAATAAGTATATAGATACTACGCGCGCGTACTACTTAATATACAGGCCTGTTATAAATTAGGAAGGAACACAAAGATATAATAATAAAACTAAAAAATATAGTAATAAAGCCTAATATAGATTATAGAGGACAAAGATATAACCCTAGACCCCTAGAAAGATAATTTCACGATAGGTTATAGGGGAAGGTTAGGGGTATGTAAAGGGCTTAGGCTTATACCTAAGCCTAGGTCTAACACAAGATAGACCAAGTCTAATACTACTACTAAGTGAACACACTAGATACCTATAAAAAGGCGTAGAGGGCTTATCTCTCCTTTAAGATACTAAATACTATTATTAACGCTTATTGCATTCTTCCCTTAAGGCCAGTCTATAATACTTGCCTCCTTATCCCTAATAAAGGCCTTATCTGCACGTAGTTTAAACTCTATAGTTATTTACTAGAAGGAGAAGTTTACCTTAGTACTATTATATAGCAAGCTAACTAGGAAAGGTTTATAGTATAAGGTAGGAGAGGGTAGAGGTAGTATATTATTAAACCTAGCAGGCTTAGAGGAGGGTTAGGATAGAATCTAATTACGTATTTCCTTATTCTATTAATATAGTATAGCTATTATAGTAGAGTCTTAAGCCTATTATTCTATTAATCTATAGACCTATTATATTAGCCTTTCTACTATATTAGGTTACACCTAGTTATTCTAAATATCTAGCGCGTCTATCTCTTATTACTATTATAGTATAATTAGAAGAAGATACTAAAATATTATAGACTAGCCTTAAGGGAGAATATAATAAGCATTAATAATAGTATTTAGTATCTTAAAGGAGAGATAAGCCCTCCACGCCTTTTTTATAGGTGTCTAGTGTGTTCGCTTAGTAGTGGTGTTAGACTCGGTCTGTCTTGTGTTAGACCCAGGCTTGGGCATAAGCCCAAGTCCTTCACAGTACTCTACTCCCCAAACCCCCAACCACTCTACCCAGTCACAGTCCTGCACCAACCTGTTACAGCCCGACCGATGGATCCAGTCGCACAGGGCCGACCTACCTACTATACCTATCTGCCTCTGCCTGCCTACCTGCCTACCTACCTGGCCAATCCCAACGCATACAGGAGGTGAGAAGAGAAATAGCGGTGATGACGCTGCCGGAAAGAAGAAGAAAAAGTTTCCGATGAGCGTGATTGAATCCTGGTAGCGAACTAGGTCCCCATCACAATTGTTCTCTTTCCTTTTCCTGCGCACCCGCCTGCGCCTTGGTCTCGCTTCCACTGGGTACAAGTCATCAAGATGGAAATGTACAATAGCATATTACTACCATCCATTCTCCTCCTTTCCTTCCTCTCACTCTTTCTTCCACCCCAATGTCTGGCCCTTCCTCCCCTCTTCTCCTCTTCCGTCTAGGAAGACATGTACAAATCATGAAACACAACCATCCCCAGCCTGGACAATGGAGCCGACCAACAGGTGGTACAGCACCTGCACCATCGTCCACACGCCTGCCTAGGTCCCAATCTATCTGCCCATCTCCCGTGTGGTAGTATAGGTATCGGTAGGTAGAGTACTCTAGAGTAGGTAGCGCGCTCGACAAAGCCCTGCAACGGCAACGGACGGAAGAATCCCCGCCTCCGCGACCCCCCTCGCTTAGGGAGTAGGTAGTGCACCTGGGGTCCTCTGTTCTGTCGAGGCCTTTTGATTGGCAGCTACCGGTAAGTATTTTTCGCCCTCCCACCGCCTGGCCCTCATTCAACATGCCTAACCTAATCTACCCATCTACCTATTCGTCCTGTATCCATCCTACCTGCAAGCAATCCATCACGGCACAATCTACCACTACACCTCACCGAGCTGGGGGCGCCACGCATCTCGCCACGCATCTCAACAATCACAATTTGTCGAATGTCATGGAGGTGACGACTTGAGTAGCCTATCGTTTGACCACCACGATAGATGCAAAGGGCACAAGCATAAGAGGGAATTATATCATCTTCGCTAACGGAGGTACCCTATGGATAAACGGGTAGGTTGGGGGGTATCATAAAAGAAAAGCAGAGTTGAGCCACAAGTAACCGTTGTAAGCCACGCTCATGCGACAAGTGCGCTATGTAGAATCTGTCCTGTTCCAAGACGGGGGGTATCGATGCTTCAAAGGTCAAAAAAAGGCGCCCAAAAAAAATTCCCAATCCTTCCTCCCATCCCGCTGTTTCCTACAGCCCTCTTTTCCCTCTTCCACAGGCAAAATGCGTGGCTGGGGTCTCCATGCCCAACGCACCGATCGCCGGGTCTGGATGCGATCTACAGTGCATCTTGCAGTCATACCAACGAATCTGGCGTTTTGGTACAACCGCATGCTGCCCCAGAGAGCCCCCCTCCTTCGAGTGAAGGCTATCACTAGAGGGCGACGTCGGTGTGGACTCCAACTCGAAGTAGTCATGCACGTTGACAAGTCGTGAATGCAACGTTGACTGCGTCTGACGGTGTGCGCGTTGTTGCGACTTGATGCTGGTTGTCGAGTGAGACCTATGATGCATGTCTCATTTCCATGGTTCCCAGTTTGGGTGGTCCATGGGGTTGGTGGCTGTCCAAGCTGGAACATCATGTGACGTGCGATTGGACGTGCCCCCATCTAGACGCGAAAACAGACGCGCGCGGGTGCACAATGACGATGCAAGTCGTATAGACAGCTGCGTTTGGGAATTAGCACTGTTGTACACCAGTGAACCGGTTGTTGGTGCTCCACCTACCGAGTCATGGCCATGGCACTTGCTGTTCGTACTGAGCTTCGTTCACTCGACTTGCTCGGGTGACTCTGAAATGGGCGTCATGGGCTTGGAGGTGCGACGCTGCTTGCGACCACTGCTGCGCCGACGCTCACTCTTGGTTTTTTTGGGTGCGTACAGAGGTGGCAATACGGGGAATGCTTGGGCCATGGGAGGCACTCGTGGTGGTGCTGGTGCTTCCTGGAGGAAGGGACAGGAGAAGTCGTCGTCAAAGTCCTCGCCGAAGAGATCGGCGTCGCTGATGTAGGAGGAAGGGGTGGTGCGGTACTCGAGCGAAGGGCCGGTCGGCCATGAGGGATAGGCGCACGAGGAGCCACGGGTGGAGGTTGATGATTCCATCGAGGCGTTGCTGCAGAGCGAGCTGGTTGGCGACGACATATTCCTGGATGAGATGGTGATGGGTAGCGATGAAGAGGAGGAGGAACGTGGGGAAGAGTCTGGGGAAGAGCTTGGAGAAGATTCGAAATGCATCATGGATTTGTGGGTGTGTGGTCGGTACGGCGGTCGGGGAAAATGCGATATGTATAATCTGTCGGACGACAGGTTCGCGGGTGACGGCTGAATTCGGCAGCGTCGGTTGTCACGATGTTAGCGGCGGGCAGGTGAACCGAGGCGATGATGCACTATGATGACGCGCTACTCTTGGAAAATACGGGACAGGGTTCCGACACTTGTTGCCGTGACTTGGATCGGTAGACAAAGAAGGCTCTAGTACTTTGGTAGTGGGTTGGTGGTGGTGGTGGTGGTGGTGGTGGTGGTAGATAGGTATAGTAGGTAGGTAGATACGGTAGTTGTCGAGTCGCTATGGGTCCTTGACGGAAGAAGAGGGTTTTTTTTGTCTTTTTGTCTTTTCTTCTCTTCCTTTCTTTTTCTTTTCTTTTCGTAATCTTCTTTTCTGTCGAAAGTGGGCAATCTCTGACAATGAAGATGCAGGAAGGTGGGCGGCGTTAAGTATGTGTATGATAGCTCTATGGACAGGGTGACCGCCACGGGGCTTGTTGTTCCGAAGGGGTCAGAAGACGAGTCATACGCGCTTCTTGTACAATTCACCAAACGTGGGGGGCGCGGGAGTCAGTTGGAAAGTGGTGTGCGGCCAGAATACTATGTGTAGTAGATAGGCTAGTAGGTATGTAGTAGTCATGCTCGACTGGTCGACTGTTCGACTGGTCGACTGCTCAACTGGTTCGCTGGTAGGGAAGATGGACAAAAGCCCCCCCCCCGTCCACGTCGCGCCGCGTCGTGCAGCGAGCGTAGAAAGAGGCGGTCGCAAAAGGAGTCGGTGAGACACCGCTTCCTGTTCTGGCCGGCTACCATTGGCCGCCTTCCCATCCAGCGGTCAAGAGGCAGCTGCAGCCCTCTTTTCCGTCCGCTGCTCCTTCCTCCTTTCTCCCTTTCTCCTTCCTTATCCCCCGCGCCTGGGCCCTGGCACCCCCCAAGTACTATGCATGGCTTGCTCCCTGGCTCCTTCCCGCCCGCTCGCCTTGTCACATTGCGCACATGGGGAAAACGCTGGCGATGACTTGTCCACCAGCTCGTCCTTGTCTTGGTTGTCGTCTTCGTCGTCGTCGTCTTCTTCTTCTTCTTCTTCTTCTTCTTCTTCTTCCTCCTCTTCTTCTGCGCCGTCGTCGTCGTTGTCACGCCAGCGCACTGGACTATGTTGCTTGATCCCTGTTGTACTTTGTCTTATTCTCAGTGATTTGATTTTAATTTGTATATCTTGTTATTTTATTTTATTGTCTTGTCTCACCCTGGAGCATCACTTGCTCCACCCGAGACTTGAAAAAGCATGTGCTGTAGAGTACAAGAGAGAAACCACGGCAGGGCCCCCGTTCCCCCATTCGCTCCCTTATCCTTCGCGCACCCCATTGCCCGCTTTGACACTTCCCACGACTCATCGCGGAATGCCCTTCTCCGCGAAACGTTAAAACACCGACCATGTTTGCCTTACGGATTACAGTAAGCTTACGCTGCGGATCCTGTGCACTCCCCCCCGAGTGTTTGACCCGGCCGCGGCTTCCTTATCCGGCAGCCGTTGGGCAGCTGAACCGGCACCGCCTGGGCTCTCCTGTCAACTGTGTCTTTGTGCCTTGTGTTCTGTGCCCTGTGTGCACGCTGTAAACCTGTCTCGACTCTCGGACGCTCGAATCTTGTGGGCAGCCACGGCATCCATAAAAGTTGGCTCGTGGTCACTGGCTGGCTGGCTGGCCATGGTCTGCGTCATGACCGTCGGTTGCAAAGCCAGTTTCCGATAGAGGGAGTAGGTATCCTTTCTAGGCCGAGCATACCGTAGGTAGTGTACAACTGTCAAGTACTTAACTCGGTGCTCGGCCACGTGCATGGCATCAAGCCCGAGCCAAAGTTGCCATGAATTCCGACATGGCCTCGGCATTCTTTCGCCTCCCGTCTTGTGCTCGTCTCGTGCCATGTAAGCCGGGTAGCAAATGATACACAATACGATAGATTGTACATGGCACCAACAAAGCACACAGTACATGTGGACGGTAATCTGGAGGGTGCACAGTACGTGATCATCAGCCCCCATAACAACAGGACATAGTACCCATAGTACCATGTATATCCATATCCTTGTATTGATACTGTCTAGTACTATAAAAGTTTCAAGACCATCTCAGGGTCCATGCCCCGTGTTTCCGACTCCCACCTTGAAAGCCGGGCTGGTGGTCTTAGTTCTAGGCCCGTGGAGATAGATGCCCCATCGGGACATGGCACACATGGCACTGAACAGTAATATCTACGGTGGGTAAGTAGGTAGACCACCAAAGAAGAGAAAAGCGTTCAAGTGTTACCATGTACAGTCGAGTTGTGCCTCCTCGAGTGGGATACCGGTACGGTATGATGCCTGCCAGCGTACCGTCTTACCTACGCCCGCTGCTTACGCAAGGCTGAGTCGAGCGTCTTACCACGGTGTAAATCAGCAGTCCTGGGCACTCGTGCCGTCAGCACACCATCTTCCTACCGTACTTGTCCCACAAGTGAATTCAGAGACATAGGCCGTTTTTAGAGTATGACTGTACATAGGTACTACCCCAGGCACATACCTACCTACCTAGAGTACCTCTACCTATGCTCTACCACTACCCCGGCTTGGATCAATTCAGCCCGCTGTCATGCCCACATGGTTCCTCATGAGGAATCCGGGGTTCAAACACAGTCTGTGCTTCCGTCCTTTTGTGATTGCCCCTGTACAATATACACATGGTACAAATTTATACCACAGTAGAGTACGGGGAAATTGCTGGGTCGCTCACATCCGACATAGTTTCCCTTTTGAGTTTCTTGAATCAAAGGCGAGACAGGACAGTTTGCGGCATGTCTTCTTAGTTCTCTCTCTCTCTGGCTCTCTCTCCCCCTCTCTCTCTCTTTTCAAGCCTCCGTTATCACTAGTTCATTTTTGTGACCACGAGTGAGTACGTCATCGCTGCGCAGTCTTTCTTTTGCGGTAGTCATGCTGCGAATCAGCCCCAGAACGCACAACCCTATTTGGTTCCATCTGGTTCGTGATGGCATCAGACTCCCGCCTCACCTACCCAAGTGAGTGTTTTACAGTGAAGTCATCAGCCATCAGCCATTAGCCATCAGCCATCAGACATCGGCCATGGTTCCCTCCCCTCTCCACACGCTCGGTGGACTTGCGCAGGTGAGTGGGGTCGGCGATCTGTTGCGCTAACGAAGCTTCTGGTGCTAGAGGATGGAACAAAGTGGATCTCGCAACAGCAAACGGTGACCGATCCCGCTCCGGCCTGCCAGCGAGGTGGAGTCTAGGCACAAGCATATGTACTATCGCTACTGTGGAGTGTGGTGGGTAGACATGGTTCGGCAAGCTGATGCGGGAAAGCGGAGCAAGATCCAGACAGCTTCCGTACAGTTTTCGTCACGATCTTCCTATGCGACCCCGCGCCGCTCTGAAAGTGAAGAGTCATCGGCTATTTGCGCACAATCATTGGGGGGCCTTGAAATCTTTTTTTTTTCTCTCTTCTCTCTTCTCCTCCTTTTCATGTGCTTGGAAGCGGCAAGTGGAGTCGGTGAGCAAGGAGGAATTTTCGCTTCAAGTGTGGTGTCGGAGGAATTCCAAGATGATTCTGCTTCTGGTAGGTGGAAGATGGACGTGCGAGTCTGCGGCCGGAGACCCTTCCAACGGGCTACCTGTTTGGGCGAAGCAGCGGCCAAGTGACGGCGCATCCGGGCAGCTCCTTGTGGAAATCTCTCTTCCAGATGAGCTGCGCTCGGTATATTGGCCGATTGAGGGTGAAGGGGAGTCTGGACTGGACTCTGGCACGCTCGGACCGTATTTTTCCGTCGCGAGTTGTCCCGTCGCGACGAGTACGGTACCTACCGGTACCTACCTATGAGGATGGCAACAATACATAGTACATGCCTACCAGTATATACCGGTAGATATCCCTCCGCATACACAATACGCTCTGATGGAGATTCGCTACAGTCGAGGCGCCAGCGGGTCCATGGCGACATGTCTCACGGCAGATGTTTCCGTTGGCTGGTCCAAGGTAGGTAGATGGACAGGTACCTATGGTACGGTACATGTACTCTACAGTGTATGTGAGCTAGAGTACAGCGTTTGGCTCGCTCGTTTGTTGGGTCCGGGTATAGTATATTGTTTGATCTTTGGATGCAATGCAAGGACAGCTAAGACTTGGCTCAGACATCTCTAGAGTATCTAGCGGTGAGTGTCGTGGTGAGCAGCAGCCAATAGGCAAGCCATCTGCCATTCAATGCAGCGGCAGCGTACTAGAGCATTGTACTGTGTGACACCACGGGCGACGGCATGCACTGTCGATCCGTCTGCTCTCTCGACCCTGCCCTGGCATGCCTACTACATGCACCACCACGACGGTCGACCTGTAATCTGCTTTGATAATAACCTGATACAAGAAGGAGGGACAGAGACAGAGAGTGGAAGAGAGGAAGAGAGGAAGAGATGGCTTGCGATCGTATTGTTGCATCAATATCACCTGGGATCCGTACGTAGTAGCGCTTAGAGCAGAAATGGTGGGGGGCCCGGGGGAGACGCCTTTTCTCGCTTCTCGCTTCTTCGTATCCTGATAGGCTGATCAAAGGCTATGTGTGTGTATGTGTGTGAGTCCATGTGTGTTGTGTATGTGTGTGAGTCCATGTGTGTGTGTATGTGTGTGAGTCCATGTGTGTGTGTATGTGTGTGAGTCCATGTGTGTGTGTGTGTGAGTCCATGTGTGTGTGTGTGTGAGTCCATGTGTGTGGCTTGTAATGTCCAATGGTCAGGTGTCCACGTGGGGGAGGCGGGCAAGTGCGAGGAGTCACACTTTGCAACCGCCGATGGGGCCTTCTTTTCTTGGAACACTCACTCCTCACCTAGCTAACCCTTTCTCTCTCTCTCTCTCTCTCTCTCTCTCTCTCTCGTTAGTGAGGCTTTCGTCCAGATGTTTCGACGCAAGCCCGTGTCTTGTCTCATCACCCGCTTTGCTCGGACTCTCCCATGTCATGTATTTGCTAATCGTTCTCATTTCTGTCCGCTACAAGGTCCAATAATGTTCCCAATTGAACTTGATGGCCTCGTTCCCCCACGCCATCCACCCCTCCACGACATACCTCGCAAACACCTCGAGCGCACTATATTCCCCAGACACCAATCCAAACCCCTCCAACAAGCCCTTCAAACAAGGCTTCCTCGAATGCACATCAGGCACAGCCGCTATCACCCTCCGTCTCACCACAGCCGCATGCCTTATCCTCGTCCATGAATTGGGCGCCGCCCGTCCCAGCAGCAGTACTTCATACGGCTTTCTCATCCCATTGTCAATGTCAAACATGGCCTCACCCTGCCTCGTAGTCTTGATCCAAATCCACTCTTCGATTAGCCCAACGTTCCATCTCTCAAACAATCCTCCAGGCCCCAGCACATGACGACGAAGAGACTCCTTGTTGGTGATCCATAGGCCCACGAGCCCATTATGCTCCAGGTAGGTATCCATGTCCATTTTCAAAAGCATCTTCTTCAAAAAGGGTATGCCGCCCACTTGCTCGTACGCGCCCTTGCGCTTGGCCGAGCGATTGGGCCATGGCGGGTCGACGAGTACGAGGTCAAAGTGGCGCGGCAGATTGTACTCATCCGTCAACCGGCGGAACGATGTGCGAAAGGCGTCCGAGTGCGTCGAGTCGCTGAGGAAGAAAGTGGAGTGGGGTGGGATTGTGAAACGGTAGGCTTTGGTCTGGTCATGGCCAGGATCGTACACACTCAGCTCCAAGGGCTTGTCTTCTGGGTTGTGAAAGGTAGGTGTCCATGGCTCTGTTACCTCGTCCTCCATGTCGGATCCAGTGCTTTGTGCCCCATGGGAGGCCTCACGTGCAGCGCGGTACGACATGTACCAATGTGGCTGTGACACGATCGGTGTGGCCGTTGATTCGGATCCACATGTCGCACCGAGAGAGGCCATCATCTGATGCAGGTCAAAGGCAATGTCGCCGCCCTTGCTTTCCTTCCATGCTGCCCATTCTCGCAGTCGGCACTCGAGTTCCTTTTCGGGGTCGTCCATGTCCATCTGGTCTTTCCCGCGTGATGGCACTTGGGTCAGTAGTCTACGTGGCGCACACCATGGGCCTGAGACGTGGGCATGAATGTGGGTCAGTGCGTGTTCAATCGTGGGCTTGTACTCTGCATGTAGCGCCGTGGTCGCGTCCTGGTTGGTCTTGGGTTGGGTCCTTTGGTTCCTAGCACGATGATCCTCTTGAATTTCAATCGGCGAGTCCAAGGGTGTGGTGGAAAGTAGAGTGTCAGAGCGTGCTTGGGCAACGGCAATCGATCTCGGTATGTCGAGAAGTATGATGTCGCCTTCTGCGTTTTGATAGATGATAGGGGATGTCGGTGACGACTGTGTCTGTAGAGGAGGCATGGTGGCAAGAGGTGAAAGTGACAAGAAAGGTGAGGTGGACGGTAAGTAGATAGACTGCATACAAGAAAAGTTCAAAGCAGAAGTGAGGGTGAGAAAAACGGTCGCCTACCGTACCGGTACCGTACCTGGGATGGATGGATGGATCACGTTGAGCGCAAATACTCTGTCTCCTCTTCCTTCAAGAGAGGGCGCTGTCGCTCGACTAAAGCAACAGACTGTGTCACTTCAACAGACAAAATCGCACTGCAAGTGTTAATGTTTGTTGCCCAAGGCCAGTTAATGTTGCTGCTTAGTACCGTACATGTGGAGGCTGTTGGCTTAGGCAAATGGCGAGGCTGGAAAAGTTTCCGCTTACAATCGGACAAGCCAGGAGATAGCCGTGCCCTGCAGCCTCGGCCCATGACGTTAACCACAGCCTAACATACTCTACTGCCGGCACTGGCTGAAAGGATGCATTCTGGACTCTGGGGGAGGCGGAGGGAGGACAGCCACACACAACCACCGCTTTTCTCAGCACGCACTGAAGCACTCGACCTCTGCACAGCCATAATCCTAATCATATCCGCCATCCTCATGTCGGCGTAGACAAGACACATTGCAGCCAGAACTCACCACGCACGGGACATGTCCATGCGTCTCCGCAATGATGAAGACATCACCACTACCACCACCTCGACTATCATGACCACGACAGCCGCGCAAACACCACGCGCAAACAACATTCCCACAGAACAGCATACGCCCTCCCCATCTGTGGACCATGACACCATCGTACCGGCCATGGGAGGGAAGGAGAAGGAGCGAGTTGATGTGGGGAGCCGGCACACGGACACCAACAGGGCAGACAAGAAGAGCACCGAGTATCTGATCAAGAGTGGGCTGGCAGGAGGTTTCGCTGGGTGCGCTGTATGTCTTTCTCACGCCCCTGTACATACACTCACATCTCCATCCTTTTGGATTCTTCTATGAAGGCCCCCCTCTCATTTTTATGACAAAAAAAATACACACACAAAACTAACAGTAAACCCTCGAAACATGACAGGCCAAAACAGTCGTCGGTCCCCTCGATCGCGTCAAAATCCTCTTCCAAACTCGCAACCCCCAATTCGCAAAATACGCTGGTTCCTGGTCCGGCTTCCACATTGCAATCCGCGACATCTATGCCTCCGCCGGTTTCGCAGGTCTCTTCAAGGGGCACTCAGCAACCCTACTCCGTATCTTCCCATACGCCGGTATCAAATTCCTTGCGTACGAGCAAATCCGCGCACGCGTCATCAAAAAAAAGTCGCAGGAGACTCCTGCCCGCCGCTTCATCAGCGGCAGCTTGGCAGGCATGATGAGTGTTTTCCTCACCTACCCGCTCGAAGTCATAAGAGTCCGACTAGCCTTTGAAACCCAAGCAGACCAGCGCAGCGGCCTGAGTTCGATAATGCGGAAAATATACGCAGAGCGCCCACCGCCCGTTGCCCACCATCATCCTTCCAACCCCGTAGCCGCGACCGCAGTCCAGGTTGTGGAAAAAGTGACGCCGAGAAGCGGACTCCCCAACTTCTTCCGCGGCTTCACGCCCACACTACTAGGCATGATTCCTTATGCAGGCGCCTCCTTTCTCGCCCACGATACCATGAGCGACGTCATGCGCTGGCCTCGCCTAGCCCCGTACACCACCCTTCCCAACACCTCGCGGGAGGAGTCCCTGACCACGAGCCACAAGCCCGCCCAACTTCGTTACTGGGCCGAACTCACCACCGGCGGAATAGCAGGCTTCGTCTCGCAAACCGTCTCCTACCCTCTCGAAGTGATACGAAGAAGGATGCAGGTGGGTGGTGTGGTCGGTGATGGCCATAGGCTGGGCATGGGCGAGGTGGTGGGGAGAATCTACTTGGAGAGGGGTTACAAGGGGTTCTTCGTCGGCTTGACGATTGGCTATGTCAAGGTGGTGCCCATGGCTGCCGTGAGCTTTTATGCGTATGAGCGGGGGAAATATTACTTGGGTATTTGATGGGGGGTTTTGCGGGGGCCATGCACAAGAAGCGGGCGTTTCGGGAGTCGAGAAATGTGCATACTGATGCGAGCAAGGCACGCGGCATGTGTCTGGCCATATTGTCTGGGGTGCATAGCCAGTCGTATACATATATGTATATATAGTCACGAAGAGCAATAGCAGACATTTACCTGCCAAGGATCATTCCCTTTTTATCAACTTCCTATTCCATCATCTTCCATTGCTGACCTGCATGGACAATCCATGCTACCAGACTGACTGGCTGAAAATGGACCCTTTCTACTTGATAGTCTGCACCAACTCGCGATACATCTTCTTGAGATCCTGAACATCGCCCTCCAACTCCTCCACCCGCTCCGTCTTCTCCCCCAACATCTCCAGCGTAGTCTGGTAGCGAACCTCCATCTCACCAAGCCTCTTCTCCAGCTCTCCCACCTTCTCATCCTGCTTGCGCTTCTCCTCAACCTCACGCATCAACCTCACCACCTCTTCCCGCGCCTCGTCCCTCTGCGCAGCCAGCCGTTGTAATTCTTCCTTGGAGGTTGCCTTTTCAGACTCCAAGCGTCGCACCGCAGCGCTCATGCGCTCCACCAGTTGAACAGACGGCCCTGCGCCAACCGTGGACACGGATATCATGTCGTTGATCGTTCGGTGCGGACTTGACATGTTTTCAAATGCGTCTTCGTGGTCCATTGCATGGATAGAGGGTGCATCCATGGTTGCGCCTGTCACCGAGCTGCCTCCACCATTTCCATTCATATACGATACCATACTCGACGGGATCGAGTCCTGTCGTGACAACGTCCCAAGCTCTGGTGTTCGAGCTTTGGCTCCACCCGACTTTTGTCGCGTCGCCGTTGGTCGTCGAGCAGCCTCCTCAAACATGCGGTCCATGGGAGTCAGCGGCATCTCTGAACCCCTTGATACAGCGCGACGATTGTAGATTCCGATTCCCATGGGGTCAGGCGAGTGTCGCCGTTGTGACGTGGACGGCGAGTCCGCACGCAAGTGATTGTTTTCACCAAGCAGTGGAACCATGTGCATCTCTTGTTTCCACTTGATCTTCTCGTCTTCCAGTTTTTGCTGCAACTCTGCCTCCCAGACCTTCCTCTCGCGTTCTAATTCGGTTCGTGCTTCCTGCGCAGCCACTTCTGCTTGACTTAATCTCGCCTGCAGTTTCTGCGCCGCGGACGTTTGCTCTGCAAGACTATGTTCAAATGCCCGGGCACGCTCATTGATCGTCTCGAGTTCGTCTTCTAGCCTCCTAGCTTTGGAGTTGACTTCTCTCGCTTTACGACGCACGTCCGATTCACGTTTCGCGATCTCATCGCGGTCTTTTTCTAGCGCTGCAACACGCGAAGTCAGGGTGGTTTCAATACCTTGCCAGTTCTCCGATGCGAGTGAGTATTGTGTTTGTAGAGTTTCAATCTGCCGAAGTAATTTGGCTTGAGAATCGCCAGTGGCTGATGATGTGGCTTCCTCGGTTCGACTACGAAGAAGTTCGAGTTTGGTTTCGAGATTCTACATGGCCTGTCAGCACTGCTTCCCCAGCGGCATCTGAGGAACATACGGTAATCTCGCCGCGCAGCTCAAGTTCGACGAGCTTTGCCTTTTCTTGTTGGCTTTTCGCCTCGTCCCGAGCTGCCTGCGTTTCTCGTTTTGCACGGTCTTCGGCGAGTTTCTTCTCGATACGAAGGTTTTCAAAGTCGTCCTTTAAAGACGCCGTTGCCCTCTTCTCAGCCTCCAATGCTCCCGTCTGTGCCCTTTTTTCGGCATCCTCAGCGCGTGAGAGCGCTTCGTTGAGTTGTTTGCGAAGCTCGGAAATGGTCAGGCCAGCTTCCTCGCGCTCAGCTCTGATCAGCTCGATGTCTTTCTCGATCTTGCTAACAATCTTGAGCTTATCTTGCGCCGCCCTCTCAGCAGCTTCAGCCCGCTTGGCCCTTTCTGCTTGTTCTGTGATGCTCTTCTCTGCTTTGGTCAAGCGCTGTTTCAGGGTCGTGATGTCCTTTTCTTGCTCCTGTGCTTTGGTGCGCATTTTCTTGATTGTCGCAAGATGCTTCATCTCGGTTTTTGACAGCTTCTGGCCTTCCTCCATGAGAGCAGCGATTTGCGCATCCTTTTCTGCCAACTGCTTGCCCTCTGATGTTATCTCTCCATTTGTGATCATTGCTTTCGAAGAAGAGGCTAGTTGCTGCGAAAGATAGGTGAGCTTTGATTGCAGAGCATCAATTCGCTCTAGGTGACCGTTTACTTCCTCACGACTGTCGATGACTGCCTGCTCGTAAGTCTTTTGCAGGAGGACCAGCTCAGCCTCGACTTCTTCAGGGTCTCGTGTTGATGGCGCAAGGGTGGCTACATCAATGGAGGGCTGCGAGGGACTGCTTTCGAGTGATTGGCGTAGAGTATCTGCTTCTGGAGCGACAATGGACGGTATAGACGTGGTCTGTGGCGAGAGTACTGTTGGCAACGGGATGACGGGCGCAGTTGTTTCTGTAGAGGTCCACGGGATAGCATGGTCCTTTGCATCGTTTACATTCTTGCTGTCCTCGGCCTGCGCCGTCGATGCGCCGTCGGTCACCGGTTCCGAGCCTGCTTTTGAGTCTATACTCGTTCTTGATGTGTCGACAACCGCAGCTACTGCTTGGTTTCGCAGCGCTGGACTTGCCGGCCGCGACCCAAAGTCTGACGAGGCTCGTCCCTCTGCCTTGTCTGCTCCCTTGTTCACGGCCTTGGCCAGGCGATCTTGTAGTCGAGAGTTGGGCCGGCTTCGAGAGGTATTCCGCGCTGCTGCCTACAGTCAGCCCCCCTACACCTGTAGTGCTTGTACGCATGGTTGATTCTGCAAGCAACCCACCTGGCTCAGCTGCCAACTTGCTTTCTCCAGGCGCAGTCTCGCCGCCCGCTTCTTGCTTGGTAGCGGTCTCAGCTGCCCGCAGCCTCGCACTTGCCTGGTCATCTTCAGCCAAGATGGTGTCAAGACGGGACTCGAGGCCTGATATGGCACTGTTCCACCAGCCTTTGCCGCTCATTTTGGGGCCCCACCCGAGCCGCTTATGCTGTCTCAATGGCTTCCTGCCCTGTTCAACTTGAGCGCTTCTCAAGATCGCTGTGGGCTTGAGTCGATCCGGGATATATTCATGGCCCACTCGCGCATGTGGTGGGCTTTGGTATGGCGTGGTGGGCTTAGCTATGGCGGCTGGTGACAAGTGGTGACATGAGACTTGGCTTCAGCGGGCTGCGCGGAGCGACCTTTGTACTTTTGAGATGATGCACCTTTTAGACTCTTAGGTCTTTGAAACACATTGATCATCTAGCAATCGTCTGCTCACTGTTTCAAGTAGCAAGGGAGAGGTAAGCGTACATCGGATGCTTTCTTAACAGTCGTCGTGGCCTCAGGACAGCCACGCAAGCGCATCAGCCATTCACGCGCCGAATTGCGAAGGTCCGAGCGCCTGACGCAACTCTTGGTGCGTTGTGGCTTGTGGGGTACGGTACCGTAAGATATATTTCGTGATTTGGTAATAGGTAATATCTTAAAATAGCCTCTAGCTGACTACTTACCAAGTGAATAGGATACGCTGCGATAGGAGATACAATACAGCCGTGACCCTACAAAATACACCATCTACTTACATATACCATGGTATATTCGTAGACCCTGATCGCCTTACCTACATGTCCTTACTCCCAGCCCGCAATCGATCATCTGGTCATCTTGCAGCCCATCTCACCATGGTTACTCGACTCGGACTAGCATCTACCTAGACGTCTAGCGCGTTCCGTGACTTTTTTCCGTGACGACGTGACTTCAATTTGTGCATGTATTCATCTGTTGCATGTGGGCCATTTCCAGCTAATCCGCGGTATATTCATGAAGTCGCTCAGGATGCCTTTAGCAGTAAGTCACGTGCTTCCATCTTTGTCAACGTAGGTATCCTGGGTAGGATCACCTGCAGCATCTCTGCCAATCACCTACTTTCGAGTATCCTATCCCCATCCTTGAATTTGCACAAGCAACTTACAGAAACTATCTCTTGGACGCCTTCTCGTCTTACCGTGCCCTCTTCCCGCTTGAATGCCTGCGTTTATTCATACTTTCGCCCCATACCCAAAACCATGTCCAACCTCTCCAACTTGCTCACCATTCACCTGCTTCCCAGGCAGTCGGTCAACTCCGCTCCACAGCCTCCCTGTCCCACAACCTTACCCAAGCCCAATCCCTTGTCCGCAAAGCCCACGCTGCCGGCGCCTCGGTCCTCTTCCTCCCCGAAGCATCCGACTACCTTACTACCGGCTCCTCCCTTGGCCTCTGCAAACCCATCACCTCCTCCCCCTTTGTCCGTGGCCTCCAGGACTCGGCGAAGCAATACTCACTCCCCATCAATGTCGGTATTCACGAGCCCGGCACCGACGGACAGAAAGTGAAAAACACGTCGATTTGGATCGATGAAACAGGAGAAATCACACAGCGCTATCAGAAGATTCACATGTTTGACGTAGACATCAACAATGGCCCCCAGCTCAAGGAGTCCAATGGTGTCGAGCCCGGCACCCAGATCCTAGACCCATTTACTACGCCAGTCGGAACATTAGGCCTGCAAATCTGCTTCGATATGCGCTTTCCCGAGCCGGGCATTGCGCTACGACAGCGCGGTGCACAGATCATCGCCTACCCCTCCGCCTTCACAACCCCAACCGGCATCGCAGGACACTGGGAGATGCTACTCCGCGGCCGTGCGCTCGAGACGCAGACTTATATTATCGCGGCGGCCCAGGTGGGCATTCATGATGACGAGGGAAAGCGGAGGAGCTACGGTCATAGCATGATTGTGGATCCGTGGGGAAAGGTGATAGCCGAGCTGGGCGGAGACGACAAAGGGGAAGGAGCAAAGTGGGATGACGAGGGTGAGATTGCGGTTGCAGAGATTGACTTGGAGTATGTGGACAAGGTCAGGGGGCAGATTCCATTGAAGAGGCGAACGGATGTCTATGCTGAGCTTGTTTAAAGGGACTGGTCTCGTCACACTTGAACTGCGAATAGCATGAGACTCGGTGATTGATTCCAGCTTCCATAATCAATAGAGATCAAAGAGAGACTCCTGCTAGCAGGAAGACTCACTGCCTAGCTTTCCTTTTCTGTCTGACAATTCTCCTCGTCCAAATTAAATCCCTGTAGTAAGACGGCCTTGCCCTCAAGATCAAGATAGGCAAGCGAGTGCTCTTTTGCATCTGTGCACATTTCAATCCTTGTCCTCACCACCTCAGATGGACACCCAAGCTTCTCTGCCAAAGTCTCCAATAGCGTCGTGAACAGACTCTTTCCCCTCTGCCCACCATCCCAGTGCGGCCCATGTGTCCTCGGCGGCTCAAACTCCCCCGACTCTGTCCCCGGACATGGCCAGTCCCAGTCCAGGGTCCCGTGATCATGATAGACATTGAGTAGTGTCGTCTCGGCATTTGAGGTGTCGTGGTGAAGTAACATATCGGAGATGAACTCGGGGCCGCAGCTCAGAGCAGCTTCTGCGAAGCAAAACTCCAATTCATTTCTCAGTGAAAGCTGGTAGGCATCCATGGAGCGACCATAGGTGCGCTGATGAATCCAGCCTGAGCCGTGATAGCGCGCTGATAACGTCGCGTGATGGAGGGCGAGATATATCGCTGTCAACGGGTCGCGAGACGAGTTCTTGATATAGGTGAGCCTGGCAGCATGACTGTCTGCACTCATGTTAGTGCTGCTATGCGCCACTACTTATTTTCTCTGTGCACTAACCAAGCGAAGCCAGTTGATACAAGAGCAATAGTCCTGCATTGACTAGCGCAAGGTTGTGTCGTTCCACCGCGAAGCAATTCCTCTCTGAAAAGAAAGCGTCCATGATATCATCCGCGATATCGTATCTCCTTACACACTCTCCCAGCCACTTCAGACTCAACGCACCCTCCTTGCATGGGAAATCTGTCTGCGCATGCCGGAGCTCTCTCTTGATGAGCGCGCCTGTGATCGAGTGCTCATACGTCTTGATCAAACTACAGAGACGGGGGTGGGCGCGGCGAAGCGTTGATATCAAGCTACCGTCTCCAAAGGGGAGGTATTGGATAGTCTTGAGGACAAGCTCTGGTGGTATTCGGGGGGATGTGAGGAAGTGGCGATATGTGGAAGGATGTAGGGTAGCCGTAGCCATGTTGGCTGACTGTGCGGTGAGAACAGTGGTCTAAGAAATGTGTGAAGTTTGTGTGGAACAGATATGAAGGTAGAGAGAGAGGGAGAGAGAGAGAGGGAGAGAGAGGGAGAGAGAGAGAAGTGACTTTGACTTTGGGTAGAGGTATGGAAATGGAGAGGAGTAGAGAGAGCACGGTGCGGGAGTTTTAGGCAGGAGCGGTCTTGTTGTGACTTGTTATAGTTTGGAAGGGGAACAATGGCGAGCTTTGACCTGTACTTGGTGCACATGAAGGCAGCAGGAGCCGTGTCTTGAAGGATCCATTCATTCATCGAGATGATGTGAAGACCATGATGGTTGACAGATTAGTACCATGATGGCGGATCCTGTCCTGCAGATGCTTAACCAGGACAAGGGACGCCAGCATACATCATCGCGTTCATCGCATCTACAGCGGCGAACGAAGGAGTGGTGACTTGTGGATTTGTCTTGTTCATCCCAAGGGGAGTGTTGGTATGCGCGTGGCGGGGAAGCATTGAACTGGCTGGACCGTTTTTGCTTTGGAACGTCTAGGCAGGTACCGGTACCGTCGCTACCGGGACGCTTCTATGGTTGTGCATGCCCTTTTGTTTTTCTTAGCTGCCTACCGCGCCAAGCGAGATTGCGTGATAGCTGAATAGCTACGCCTGTATCCACACCACAGCATGGCAGAAACCAGCAAGGTCTTGGGAGAAGGTGTAGCGTCGGACAAGCAGTGTCAGGGGAAGGGGAAGGGGAAGGTGATGGTTGTCTGGACTCTGGCCTCAAGGTACTCTAGGTACGGTCCCGGTGGTCCCGGTAGTTAACCCCCACCAATGTCATCTCGGCTGGTTTGAGGATCACGTTACTTGTCTTGTGCCATCAGGATAGCCAGGATGTAGCAGTGGCAAATCACATGATACTCACACTACCCGAGCGCATGAGTACTTCATCACGCACTCGACTCACTTACCCCGCACACCCACACCAAGTTGGTCAGTCAGCCGGGGGAAAGGCCTGGCAGTCTGGCCTACTATAGGTACTCCTCCTGGTACTCTACATGTTGAAGGCTAGCCATTCGAACCTGACAATATAGAAACCCCCGAGGCTCGTATCGTGGCACGCATCCATGGGTAATCTTCTACTTGCACGTCCATGCGTAACAACATCTGGGGGTATCATCTACCGGTAACGTCGACATTTCCATCCCGATTCACAGCTGCCAAGGCCCCCTCACAGCCCAGGGCCAAACACAAACTACCTACTCAAGATCAATGCCCTCTCTCTCAGCAGCTTGCACAATAAACTTCCTCGTCTTTGCATCTGCTGCCAGCTCTAGCGGTACATGGCCGTCCTTGTCCTTTTTGCAAAAGTCTGCGCCCTTGGTCAACAACAAGAGGGCGGCATCTCCGTGACCCTCGCTCATGGCGTGGTGCAACGCCGTCATGCCGTCCATGTCGGTAGCATCCAGTGGGCTCTTTGCGTCAAGCAATGCCTTCATCATCGGCACGCTTCCTACAGATGCCGCTCTATGTAATGGCAGCTGCCCACGCTTGTCCTTGATCCGCGCTGATGCTGCTGGCTTCTGGGCCAGCAGCGTGCGTGCGATGTCGAGGTTGATCTTGGAGGCGCAGAAGTGAAGGGCGGTCTGGCCGTTGTTGTTCTTCGCGTTGACATCTGCCTCCTTGCTCAGAAGGAGGTCGACAATCTGCTCTGCCTCTTTCCGTGAACAGGCCATCATCAGTGGCGTCCAGCCTGAGCCATCGGCCACATCTGGGTCGAATGATGGCATCTGCACGAGGATTTGCACAATGGGAACATGGTTGTACGAGACGGCCCAGTGTATGGGGAGACGATCGTCAGGGTCGCGCAGATTGGCGAGCTTGGGATTGGCGGCTAGGAGGGATTCGACTCTGGATACTGGAGGGCGAGTGAGTTCAATGTTTGGAGTATGCATGTAGAGGTAGGAAGCACGTGACACATGGGCTGCCTGTGTCGCATTCGCATAGACTCAGACTTACTCTGACCCTCGCGACAGGCCTCGTGAATGGCATACTTGGCCTTGTACTCCTCCATCGTGTGCTAACCAAGCGTCTTCAGGCGATCCTTGAGTGCTCACAGAAACCCAGCTGAAGCTGCACAGTAGGTACTCTACTCTACGGTAAGCCGCCATGTTCTTCTCCGTTACCTAAAGGCCCCGCCGCGGTACACACCCGATTGGTCAACCAATGACGTCGCCAATGGTTCCCTGCCATCTTGCCCGTTGCCTGCTCTCTTCGTACACTGACACTGACACTGACACTGCCACTGCCACTGCCAGCCACAGGACATACATACTACTACCAGTCCCTGCCTGTACTTTCACACTACTGTACTATCTACCGGCATCGGTGTAAGATCACGGCAGCAGCTGATCTCGGACTGCTTCCAACCGAATGTGGCCTCTTGGGGAATCTTCGGCTGTGATGCTCGGTCGAACCGAACAGCACAGCACAGCACAGTACGACTTTCCCCACATTACATCATCCAGTCGCCTCCCTGCTCGACCACAAAGGCTCCATCGTGGATCGTGGTTGCTGCCGAGTCAAGATGCGGGGAATGATTAGGCATGACGGGTACATTGGTTTGCATCTCGTGACAAGATCGTCTCTCTGAGAGGTGCTACAGTCGGATTACCTCTTATGAAGGAAAGACGGTGTATATAAAGCACGCACATGTCTCGCAAACAAACGTCCTCGATGCATTTCGAGACAGTGTCAAAGGAAAGTAAAAAACATGAGGTACTCGTCAAGCTTTCTCGCCCTCTTCGCTGCCGTGACTCCAACACCCGCTTTCTCACAACGGTATACGAATGAATCAGAAGTGCCGCTCTATGGACAGAGTCCACCTGTGTATCCCTCACGTAGGCCACACACTCCTGCAAATATCCCCCAAAACTCCACAGCCCTCTGACCACAACACCATAGCCTCGGGCAATGGCGCAACGTCCACATCATGGGCAGCCGCATACGCCCGCGCTAAAGCCATTGTATCACAATTGACCCTTGAGGAAAAGTCGAACCTTACACACGGCGTAACAGGACCCTGTGTGGGCCAAACAGGTGCTGTCCCCCGCCTCAATATCCCAGAACTGTGCTTTGCAGACGCACCGGCTGGGGTGCGAGGCCAGGAGTTTGTTTCCGCTTTCCCAGCTGGTATCCACCTCGGCGCAACATTTGATCGTGACTTGATGCTCAAGTATGGACAGGCTCTTGGAAAAGAGTATCGCGGTAAGGGGATTCATGTTGCTCTCGGACCATTCATTGGGCCGATTGGACGAGTGGCTAGGGGTGGGCGTAATTGGGAAGGGCTAGGGGCAGACCCGTATATCAATGGCGTCGGAGGTGGGCTTCTGACGAGGGGCATTCAGGAAGCGGGCGTGATTGCCACACCAAAGGTGAGCACTCCAGGAAATAGGCTAGGACCTCATCCGCTAATGATGGAGTAGCACTGGCTATTGCAAGAGCAGGAATACAGAAGACGGCCGGGCGATGAGGGCGAGGCCATATCATCGAATGTGGATGACCGCACAGCACATGAACTATACGCATGGCCATTCATGGATGCGCTTCGGGAGGGCGCTGGCTCTCTGATGTGTTCGTACCAGAGAGCCAACAACTCTTATGGATGCCAGAATTCGAAACTGCTGAATGGTATTCTGAAGACCGAGTTGGGCTTCGAAGGGTTTGTGGTAAGTAAAACCTGAGGGTTTATCCCGATGCTGCTAATAAACGACGCCAGGTTTCCGACTGGGATGCACAGCATGCCGGCGTTGCTTCTGCCAATGCTGGCCTTGATGTCGTCATGCCAATAGCGAAGTTCTGGGGTGACAATCTCACCGAAGCCGTGACGAACGGCTCAGTTACAACTGAGAGATTGGATGACATGAACACCAGACTCCTGGCAGCGTTCTACTATCTGCACCAAGACCAGGACTTCCCTGAGAATAGTGTATACCCATACAATGTCGAACATCCTATTGTTGACGTACGCGAGGACCATGCTGCCTTGATCAGAGACATTGGAGCAGCTGGTACTGTATTGGTCAAAAACGTCGACAACACCCTACCCTTGAATCATCCACGCTTTTTGAACATTTATGGATACGACGCCGAGGTCAAGGGAACACCGTGGAACAATCCTGCACGCTTTGGAGGTGGTTACGAGGAGAATTGGGGTTGGAACACCCTAAACGGCACTCTGATCACGGCCGGTGGATCTGGCTCCAGCACGCCCCCCTACGTGATCAGCCCTTTCAAAGCAATCCAGGACCGCATAATTGCGGACCGTGGCACCCTTCGATGGGACTTTGATGGTATTAACCCAACAGTCTACGCAAACGCCGATGCATCCCTTGTCTTCATCAACGCCTATGCCTCTGAATCCTTTGACCGAGTCTCCCTCACAGACACCTTTAGCGACCAGCTCATCCGCAATGTCGCGGCCAACTGCTCCAATACCATTGTCGTCATCCACAACGCCGGTATTCGCACAGTCGACGCCTGGATCGACCACCCCAACATCACCGCCGTCCTCTTCGCCGGCGTCCCCGGCCAAGAAAGCGGCCACGCAATCACAGACATCTTGTTCGGCGATGTAAACCCAAGCGGCCGTCTCCCCTTCACCATCGCCAATAAGGAAGAAGACTATGGCATCTTGCTCAACTCTACGGTCGATGACAATAACCGTGCGTTCCCCCAGTCGGACTTCACAGAGGGGCTGTACATTGACTACCGCGCTTTTGACGCGCAAAACATCACTCCCAGGTATGAGTTCGGATATGGATTGTCCTATGCATCATTCCATTATTCCGGCCTTGCCATTACACCACTCGACAATGTAGATACTTCGCCGTATCCCTGCCAGTCTACCCCGATCGTGCAAGGCGGACACCCTCAACTCTGGGATACACTATATACCGTCTTCATTAACGTGACAAACGCCGGTTCTGTGCCTGGCCGCGAAGTCGCACAATTATACCTTGGGATCCCGAATGCGCCGTTGAAGCAACTCAGGGGCTTTGAACGCACAAAGATTTTGCAACCACATGAGAGTGTGGAGGTGGAGTTTAAGCTGCAGAGGCGAGATTTGAGTGTCTGGAATGTAGAGGCCCAGGCATGGGAGTTGCAGAGCGGCAGCTATGGGGTTTGGGTAGGAGCAAGCAGTAGGGATGTTCGGTTGGATGGAGAGATTGTTGTCGACTAAAATGGCACAATTGGTGGTAGGAAACGATTCTGCTTGTAAGAGTGTAAGTCATTAAGAGCAACAAACGTCATACAGTATGACTGGTTGTGATTGAACGACCAACGCTTGTTGAAGAAAGATCAGAACCCTACAAACGCCGATTCATCACACCAAACCACCGTAGCATGGTCATGAGAGCGCCAAAGTTGCAGTGCCATTGGGCTGTCCGTTGAAAACCGTCCCCTTCGATGCTTCGCTAACTTCTTCCGTGCTCGGTGCAATGAGCGTTTTCCCATTCGTTTCTCCATCAGCAGGGTCCTGGTTGGGGGCCTGAAGTCCTTGTCGAACCTTTAGAACGCTGTCCACAATGACAGCGTCGATGCCTTCATTGCGTTGAAGCTTCATCAAATCAGTCATGTGTCCAATACAATGCCACTATGTAGGATGAACTTACCTTTACATTCTCGGGATCATTGTTCAGTGTCCCATAGCTGACACAGACCAATCCGCTCTCCTTGACCACCTTGACCAACCGCGGACACATGACAAGCGGTGTCGCGGCGCTCACGACCCCAAGCAAGTTCCAACGACTCGCAAACCGAATAGCCTCTTGTAGACTGGCGGCACGTACATCGCCCACAGGCGAAGTTCCCGCGTCGGTGAGGAAGAGAACGGGAACAGACGGTTGTTTGAACGACAGCATAAGACATACGTCCGGGTTGAACGAAGAAAAAATGACGTTCCGAGCACCCATCTTGTCGTATACAGTCTGCAGAATGGTGTCAACAAACGAGTTAAGCTCCACGGCATATTGATCCATTTCTTCCTCTTCAGACTCGTGAAGCATGGGGTACTTCATCTCAATATTGAAGCCAACCTTTTCGGGTAGCTTATTGAACATTTGCTCAAGTGTGGCAAATTCTCCTTGAATAGACGAGCCACGGTGATTTCCCTTGAACCCTTTCTTCTTAAAGTCACGCGTATGCTTCATGCGTTCTGTGAGGTCGTTTTGACGATCCGTATGGACGTTGCGCTGGGTGGAATTGTCAACCGAATAGGACCGCAATCTTCTCGTGTTTGTTGGCCTATCGCCATTGCCATTCACGTCACTGGGAACAGGCACAGTCTCCGGTGATCCATTGCGAGAGGATCGCGGCTTTTGATTTTCACCAAGATGAAGAAATTGATCTGCTGTGAGGGTGTGGACCGGCGCATCGATTCCTGTTTCGCTTACCAAGAAGTCGTGGTAGATGACAGGAACAAGATCCTTGGTCAATTGTACGTCAAATTCTACGTATTCTGCGCCCAAGTTGGCAGCGGAGATGAAAGATTGCAAAGTATTTTCTCCCAATTGCAGAGAGGTGCGTGAGGCTGTGTTCTTTCCAAGGCCGCGATGGCCAATGACCATGGTTGATGTAAGCGCCATCTTCTTCCAGTAAGTGTGCTGTTCGGTGACGGACATGTTCGGATGTTGAAAGGGAGTAATGACCAGGAAGTTGAAGTTGACTGCACCAATAACTTCTAGTGTTGAAGCTGCCACGATCGGGACCTTCATGTCACCTTGAAGAGAGATGCGCTTCGAACCAATGCTGGTCTTGATGGTAGACAAGAGAGCGACACCACGTCCTACTACTCGCTCGTGTGATCCAGCATAGGTGGGAACAATGTCGAAGAGGAGTTTCACTTTGCTAATATCGGTTGTGGTGAAGGTAATGGGTTCTGTGGCAATGTTCTCCTGTACGGGAAGATCAATGAAAGTCGGCTCTCCGCTAGCCCCGGAAGCGGTGACGACCAAAGACAATGCCGTATCAAGTTGTGTGGCATGCGCGTCAGCAAGAGGAATATCTTCAAGCTTGACTGCAGGTGTATCCTTCCTAATGTCCATGGAGCCCAGGCTGACCAACACCATAGTCTCTTGCGTCAAGTACCGATGGCCAAAGGTTTTTACAGGCTCGGGAACTTTCTGGACAGCGCTGGGCCCTTCCCGGTTTAGATTCTTCGATCTTCGCTCATCCAGGGATGATTGAGGCGGCGAGCCAGCCCGAGCAACTCTGGTACCTGAGGGAGTTGTGCGTGGCAACTTTGTTGCAGGAGCAAGTTCTGCCAGTTTCTCCGCAATGCCCATATGCCCACGCAGCGCAGCATGTTCTATTGCCGTCCATCCAGAATTATCGGCACGGTGTAGATCAGCCCCTGCAGCAGCTAAAATCTCCACTATGGGAAGATGGTCATCGACGCAAGCGATGAACAGTGGAGTCCATTCAAACGTTTTTTCACATATGTCGACCTGTGCCTTGTTCGTCTTCGAGCCTTCAAGAAGCGCTTTTGCACACTCCGTATAGCCGTACCGTGCAGCCATATGTAGAGCCGTTTCCCCTCCTTCATCTTGATAGTTGACATCGACACCAGCTTCGACGAGCAGTCGCACGATTTCGACAAAATTTGATCGAGTTGCGAGGGCTAATGCAATTCCAGTTTGGGATGTGGCCTTTCTGGCCAAGAGCTTCTCCTGACTCAGCCCAAGCCAATTTTCTGCTTCCAACAACGCTTTCGTTGTGAGTGGGTGTCCTCCAGCCACACTAAGATGAAGCGGCGCATTGCCCTCCGCATCTTGCCAATATGTTGAGTCGATGCCTTGCGAGACATCGAACTGGCCCCACTCTTGCATATGGGCAATGACAACCTGGCAAATGACGACGAAGCCATACTGAGCGGCATAGTGAAGAGGAAGCCTACCATAGGAGTCACGGGATTGCAAAGCCGCTCGCTGACCCGGGCGTAGTTGGTCTAGAAGATGTATGAGAAGGCGCACAGAGTCATCGTTTGCACTCAGCAGTTTGGCTGACTCTTCCTCCGTTGTAGTACACGGACGTGGTAGACGATTTGGTGTCGTTGCCGGCACAATGAAGTTCCTTGCTTCGCTCGAACTTTGAAGAGAGGCTCCCTCGGCACCGAGCGTCTCACCGCTTTTCGAACGACCGATGTTGATGACGAGGCGATGAATACAATTACGCTTGTTGATGTCGTCGTCCTCTTCCAAGGAGATGATATCTTGCAAGAGTCGGTCTATGCACGATTTGGCACGACATGAAATGGCACGTTGTAAGAAGTTCAAAAGGACCTGCTGAAAGGAAGGGCTGACGAGGCCGTTATTGGAGGCGGCTTCTGCCAGTTGTTGGCTGAGGTCGTCGACCTTGTCGTTGCGGATGGCTGTATCCACAACATCAAGCAGACTGGAAGGAAGGTGTAGCGAACGACCCGGCACACGGCCCAAGGATGCGCCGGAATGCGTGGATCCACTGTCATCAAACGTCTTGATGTCACCGAGCCCTGATAGCCATTCATTGACCGACTTCATGTCCTGGTTCAGAGGCAGATTGTGTGCAAAAGGCTTTGGGTTGACCTTTGACGCCAAATAGCGTTCCTGCAAGCATACCATCTGTATCTTTTTATCCAACTTTTTGGTAATCTTGATGAAGCCTCTGCGATTCACCTCTCCGTACCATTGTAGCTTTCGCATTTGGCTTCGCAGCTCCAGCAGTGCCCCCATGAGATCTTGCGCTTCATCTTTGTCGATACCCTCTGGCATCTGCGCCGCTCGCCCATAACGGCCATGCAGTAGTCGCAAACGGCGAGCGGATTCGGCATACTTTCGGTTGTAGAAACTATCAACATCTTCGAGGTTGCGATCGAGGGAAAAAAAGAATTCTGGGGTAGACTGTTAGTCCTCAGGCGGCTGCTACGGCCCGGTAAGGCGACGAGGAGAGCCGGAAAGGGTCCTTCTGGCCAGATAAAGTGTGTGTTGAAATTTTGTTCTTGCTCACCTGCTAGGTCCAGATCTGCACCGTGCCTGGACGCGTCGGCTGCAGTCTTGATGAGTTTCTTTAAGCCTTTGTAGTTGATGTAAAACGAAGCCCATTCAGGGACCTGGTTCCGGGGTAGGTTGTGTCCAAATTTCATTTCGCAATGGGTGGTGTGTAGAGTCCTTTGCCAGGGAATGAAATGGGTACCAATTATGCTCGGGTGTAGGGGAGCAGTCCTAGGGCTGTAGGTAGGTAGGTAGGTAGGTAGGTAGGTAGGTAGGTAGGTAGGTAGGTAGGTAGGTAGGTAGGTAGGTAGGTAGGTAGGTAGGTAGGTAGGTCGAGGGCAACGGGTGGGCGTACCAGCAAGCGCCCAAAAGCAAGCAATTATAGCTAGAGAGATAGCAATTGAATGCCGATGAAGGCCAAAGGACAGCCAAGAGGAAGCAATTGAATGCCGATGAAGGTCAAGGGACAGTCAGCCTTTCCATGCGACCAGCGCAATCGACGCGTGAAGTTGGCCTTTCTCAGCGTGTGCTCCAGCCGCCCGCTCTCATTGGATGAGACCAAAGCTCTCGATAGAAGCGCGCCTGTGGACATGGTTAAACAGACTGTCATGCAGAAGGGAGGAGGTCTGCGGATGGAGGGCAAGGGGAAGCACACTGCAATTTGCTGCTCAATAGTGCTATTAATCGCCGTGTGTCGTCTTGGAGAGCGATAAGAAGGGAGGGTGGGGGAGTGTGAGTCTGGAAAGAGAGAGGCGGGTTGGTGGCTACCGTGTGGGCTGGCCCCTGCTGAAGACTGAACCGTGGTGAACCGAAGATGACGACAGAGTTTGTTGATGGATCTGGTGGGACTTGGTTGGACAGAGAGATGAAGAGGGAGCAGAGAAGCCCTTTGCTTTATTTATACCGCATGCCACAACCACACGTAGGTACCGTAGCGAAGGTACTTTGATCTGCAAGTCTCTGCCATTCCTTTGCGTTGCTCTCCAAGTCAAAGCTTCTTTCAGCGCCATGGCTGACAGGCTGATGGTCCATCGGTGGGACCCTTGTGCATTGTTGCATTTTCGGTGCCTCCCATCATCCATTGCCCCTCGGCGGATCACGGCGGGGCATCCCATCCGAACACTGTGGCAGACTGGAGGGGAGTGGTTGGAGGCTGGCGGCGGGCAGTGTGCTCTCGCTCGCTCTTTGACAGTCCCTTGACTCCTTTGGGACTCCTTGCCTTGTGGCCAGAATTCATGGATGCCTACAGAGGGACTTGGCAACCGACAAATGGCAACCTTGGAAGTCATGTGTACATAGCACCTATAATACTACAGCGTATGACAACCCTGCCTGTCAGTGCTCACTGCTCAGAGCGTTCCACGAAGCCTCCCGTTGACGTGGTCACATTCACACACAAGCACGTCGCTGCGACTTGAGGGCGAGAACGTCTGTACATATGTCTTCAATGGGGCAAGTCTGCACGCGACAACTTCCCCCCCCCCCCCCCCACAAACTGTCTGCTCGCTTCCAAGTCGCTTAACTGCCTAGGGTGTGGCAGCAAATTGGTGGGAGCATGACTTGGAATGGCTTCGTACTGTGTGCAGTAGGAGTAGGTACATAGTAAGGGATACATGTATGTAGGGACCTAGCTACGCCAACCACACACCGCTTCGGACCCTGAGGATCCCAAGTACATACCATACCGACCGACTTCTAGAGTGCAGAGTGCATGATTCGCTCAGCCTGTTATTGGCTATCCACCCGTCAACGTTGCCTCACAGGCTCTCCATCTTAAGCCCCTCCGGCCCAACTCGAGTCATCATCCTGTACCCTGGCGCATCTGCGGGGAACCCACAGCTCACTTCCGCCTCTGGGTTCAAGCGTGCAGCCATTGCCTTATTGCGTTATCGTGGACCCTGCAATCAATACCCAGCTCTCATGCACCTGCAGAACGACCGTCAGGAAAAGAAGAATGCATTGCCTTCGCCATCTTTTCGCTGCGCCTTGGAAAGGTCCTTGTCCGGCGCATATTCCGCCCATGCGCTTGCGGGGAAGATGTGCTTGTTCCTCTCATACCACCGTCGATCCACCACCTTGGTCACCGTCGGATCATCCCCGAACCCCTCGAGATCCTCATCCGCCACCGTTGACGCTTTGCCTTTGATCTTCTGTGATGAGTTGAGCGGATCGTAGGCCACACCATCTCCCTCGCCCTCTCCGCTCTTTGCCGCAGGCGTTGCCTTGGTCGGTTGCGCCGAGTAGTGGAACAGAGGGCCATGGAAGCCAGCAACTTTGTTAAAGAGGAAGTGGTAGATTTCGTAATGCTCGACGATAGTTAGCGCAGGCACGACGGGACATCGTCAGAATACATACGTGAGGCAAGATTACTTCTCCGCGCACAAGCATCAAGTCATCTACACTCACACGAGCCCAGTCCCTTCGACTCTTGTCGCCGCCCATTCCTAGCTCAGCCCCCACTTTCCTGGCTTTATCCAAGAATAACCATACTTGATCGCCTTTCTTGATCCTGCAGCGACCACCAGGCACGTTGGTGCCATCGTAGAAGACGAAGGGTATCACCACTTCCGTCGCCTTGACGGCTTCACGCATGACCAGGAATTCTTGTCGTGCCAGATCCGCCTTCTGCGCTTCGCGTTGTAGCGCTGTTTTGGTCATGACCCGCGGTTTGAGACCAATGTTTGAGTTTGCAGAAAGTTTCTTCCGAGACACTGGGCCTTCTACCTCAGAGTTGGCCGTGGATGAGTCCGCAGCCATATTTTCGCCTGGTGTCGGTGCCTTCGCCGCGGTGGGTTCCACAGCTTCATCGTCGTCCATACCAAAAGATAGCTTGCCTTTGCCAGCTGTCTTGCGCTTCTTTTTGGAAACGGGCTTAGCCGTTGGTTCCCTGTACTTGGCAAATTAGCACTTATCTATAGCACATGATTGTTCATAGCTGTACCCCTCTGGTGCACTTCCTTCAGACGAGACTGCAGATTGCCCTCGCTCTTTTCGGTCAAGAGCTTCAGCGCGACGTTTGCGATAGTCATTTAAATTCACTAAGCCGACGGTCTGGGCTTTGAGGAGGTCCTCGGCTGTCGCTGCCTGGGTGGTAAAGCGTGAATTTGAGGATGCATCTGGACGCTCAGCTGTACCAGGCGCAAATTTGTCCATAGTGACATATAAATTGGAGGGGGAGGATGTTAGGAATCGTCGCTACTCAAGAACTAGATGAGCAGTAGCGCCGGATACAAAGTCGCGCTAGTTGACGTCCCGTGATCACGCGACGCGCCCTTTCCTCGAAGGCACGTTACGGACTACCCAACTCCGCTGTACCCGAATAGAACGCCTCAACAAAGCGGCTAGATTACAACAACCTAGAGCATCTCGCGAAACATGAAATGCGACCATGCGAGAAATTCAGGATTCTGACGATGATCTCGACACTATCGAGGTTGATATTCCGCCGCAACAACAGCAAAGCAAGCCCGTGCCACAACAGGAAGACAGTATGTCTCCACAGGCACATGGTACCGGATCTACTGGTAAGATAACAACTCATCGCCTCATTGCTCCTCAAAATCTAAGAGTCATCTTCAGAGTCCTTGAGGAAAGCGCTACAGAAAGAGCATCGGGCCCAATTTCAATCTCAATCTAGTCAATTGGAGACCTCTCTTTCTTTGTCTGAGAATCCAAGCAAGAGGAGGAAAACATCCGCAACACCTAGCTTACTACAGCCTGGGGAGTCCACGTCGCCAAAACAAAATGGTCCCGTCACCAGTAGCAAAAGATCGAAGTCGTACTTTAGCAGTCCGCTGCCCAGTGAACCTAAATATGTCGCGACCGAGATTGATCTTCGGTCTCCCCATGAACCAGTTTGGAATCTGGAGGGGACTACGCGTGAAAACTATGCACACCATGAACCCATGGCTATGTTTCCAGAACCATCCAGCACTGTGGCAAATACTACCCAGACGCAGCTACATGTGCTGGAAAGGGTACGAGGTCCAGTCATGCTGGGCCTCTCCTCCGAGGTCGACGCTCCCCGCAATTTCTTTCCACCCGAACCCTCGGTACCGTGGTCAGATCTAATGAAACTTACACCGGGCGATCCTCTATGTCTCAGTGGATCTTCTGATCCTATCTCAGAATCGACATCCGCAACTCCTATTTGCTGGGATGCAGAAGTAGATTCATCCGCTTCGCAAAAAAGCCGGCGAGGTTCTTCTACAATTCAAAAAGGTAGTTCCCTACAATATGAGATCGCACGAGACGATTGTCGACCCGGTGATGCGACGGTGCGGCCTGATAAGGACAGTTTGATCCCAAAATCGTCAGGAAGTACTACAGAATCACTGCATAATAATAAGACTGGGCAAGGACCTTCAGATGTGTCAAAATCGCAGCCACAACTTCAAGATGAGGCAATCTTCGATTATGACGACGAGCTATCCATCGGCTTACCGAGAGAACGATACAAGCCCCGCCCAAGTCGCTCAAGGTCTCTCAAGACTGATACTCAAGACGAAATTGACTACTCAGTCGTACCAGAGCGAGCCAAGAAAGTATCAGAGCGGCGAAAAACAGCAGAGATCCCCAGCAGCGTCGAAATACCAACCACCCCTCAAAAGATTCAGCAAATCTGCGACATGGGCTTCACGCCAGACACAACCAAGAGAGCACTGAAACATAACAGTGGTGACATCACATCAACTGTGGATTGGCTAGTCACGAATGGCATTGGGGAAGACGAACTGGCCTCACACCCCATCCCACGAAAGAAGCCAATTACACCGAAGTCACATGATAAAGCAATGGACCCAGAAGGACTGCAGGTCATCATGCGTGAACTGGATGAATATCGCAAGGAGGACTCGATACATCCAGAAAACGATGCTCCAGCTCTCACCACAACGGATGGTACTTTGCACCCAAACCCCATCGATAAGAAGCATGCGGTTGAGCATATAGACACAGTCCCAGTGAAGAGTCCCAAAGTCCAGGTCATCATCCAGAGCAAGTCTCCAGCCAAGACTCCATCTGATCTACAAATGTCTTCGGGACCTCCAAAGAAAGGCTCGAAGCGAAGAAAGACCACCCTGGATCAGCCAGATTCGGAGCCATCCACAGTATCATTGGAGCTTCCAATGTTATTAACAGAGAAGAAGAGAGGCAGAGGTCGCCCCAAGAAGGCCTTGGAGAAGCCTACATCGATTGATGTAGTGCAAGAAACTGTACCACCAAAGTCATCTGAGGAGCAGCAGCAACCTGAAGCGCTGCGGGCTGTTCAAGTCAACGTCGCTTCCGGATCAACATCTGCAACTGATGTTGTAGTGGACGGTGCCTTTGTGGAAGGCAGCGAAGCACTCATTGACGAGCCTTTGGCGCACGCTCATATTTTAGAACCCGAGAAAAAAACGTCGACAAAGCCGCAAACTTCAGAAACTTCATTAAAGTCGCCGACACCGTTGAATAGGGGGAAAGTGCCCTATCGAGTAGGGTTGAGCAAAAGAGCAAGAATTGCGCCATTACTGCGCGTGCTTAAAAAGTGAGCCGCACGAGTTTCGCATGTCAGTCAGTACAATAAGGTACAGACAGTCCACATGTGATAGAACGTTGACATTATGATACCCGCTTTCTGTAGCAATACCAATACCCACCCGTTTCTCATGATTTCAATTATTCTACTGGTGGCCTCTACGGCGTTGAGCTTTGGCTGCCCACTATCACAATCGCAAAGCTAGACCAGTTCAGGGCCTTGCATTAGAAAGGACCTGCATATACGGTACGGAGTGTCCGGCTTGTTCGCTCCGACAGAGACTGTCGCCCCTATCCACTAACTCGACCCGTACCGTAGTGCAGCGGTTGCAAGAGAGAGTTGCGATATTGTGATGTCAGCAGTCCAATACCAGAGCCAAGGTCCTGCGCACTACCTAGATCCTAAATATATGGTACTAGTACTCGCATTTGCGCGTTGCAGTCTATTGGGCCGCCCATTCCGTCTGGAGCGACCAACAGAGCATACACTGTACTGTGTCATTTGAGTAAGTTAACCAAGCTTCGAGCGGAAGCTTCACATGGCCACTGGGCAACATTCCCGCCAAGGCTGCCAAGTGGAAGGCGAATAGGGGCTCTAGTGCCTCAGATCGGAATCAGTCCCATATTCGAGTGAGTTCAACGGGGATACTATTTGCGGCAGGCTATCGATACAGCTCGTCATTGAAAACCGCTAATGATTCTGGTTTTGGCGCTATGGGAAGAGTTGTTACCAATGAGAGACATGCAACTCGCGTGGCGTCCCTGGTTGGCCCATTACAAATTTCATTCTTTGTGATATCTCCAGGTACGTAATGTCACGTCTTCTTGACGAGACTGTGTTGCATTGCATGGCCGGTAATACGGACGCAACATGCCTGGGAGGGATCACACTCCCACAGGTCAACCATATGAGGAAACGCGGAAGCGACTCGCCGCTTTAGCTGGCGTTAGCCTTGTAAAAGCTCTCCGCGATCAAGGCTACGCGAAAGGCCAAGCACTCAGATTCAGGTACCCGAAGCATTGCTTTATATTTTTGGATTGTTCGCGTGCAAGCCCCTTGGCACTTCCTGGGCGGTTCTGCCGTCCCTTTGTCGTCCATCAACATACAACAATACCACGCCGTAGAAGTGTAACAAAGATCGAGGCATTCAAAGGGTCTGGCTCAAAGTTTAATGTGTACAATAAGAGCCTGGAAAAAATCGAGGCCCGGCCTATGACGCGCTCACTGAAGACGCCGTCCCAGTCCTTTGTGATCTTGCAACAACCCCGCTCACTATCTGCTCGTATTCCGCCAGCCTTCTCCAGGCCACCATCTTGGCTGGAGACGATAGTGTGATGAATGCAATGGCTAGTGAAATCCAACCGCCTCTCTGCAGCAGCGCCATGTCCGAGGTTCCTTCACAGTATGTACTGTATGTCATTGATATAAGTATTAAGCGACCATTTCCCCTTTCCTGATCCCGCACTCGTCTTGCTCTTGTCTGAACCAAGCGACCTTCACTCGTTCACTCTTTTTACTTAATTCATCGACTCTGCCGACCCACGCTCGCTTAATAGCTTTTACAAACAGACATGCGTTTCACAGAAGTTTTTGCCGCCTCTCTGGTGGCCCCATTGGTCGCTGCTCATGGTATTGAAGGTGCCCCTAGGTTTTTTGGACTGCCGAAAGACATGAGGGCAAGGAACCCTTTTGCCGGTTACCAGGCAGGGTACACCAATTTGCACAAAAGTGCTTTGCCCAAGCGCCAGGAAGCCAACCCAGACAGGTGTGGAAAGCAGGGTGGAGGAGCTGTTTGTGCTTCCAACAAATGCTGCTCTGCTGAGGGATACTGCGGAACGACAACCGATCACTGCAAAGCCCCAGACTGTCAGTTTGAATATGGTATTGCCTGTGATGCAAACTATACGCCTGCTGGAGCATCCACTAGGAATGATCCTCGTCCTCCCAAGGGTTCTGTTCTCAAGGGTGGTGAGGGCATTTGGTCTTGCAACACACCTGGAACTGTTGCCATTACATACGATGACGGCCCATACATTTACACTGAAGGTGTGCTAAAGCTGTTCAAGGACGCTGGAATGAAGGCCACCTTCTTCTTGACTGGCAACAACCTTGGAAAGGGATCCATTGACGAGAAATGGTCTGGTGTGATCAAGCAGATGTATGCTGATGGTCATCAGATTGCATCGCATACGTAAGTGAATCAATACTTCTCGTTCATCTCTCAAAAATCTAACAAGGTGATAGTTGGTCGCATCAAGACCTGAGCATCATTACCGAGGAGCAGGTCTACGACCAAATGGTGAAGAACGAGATGGCTATCCGTAACATCATTGGCAAATATCCTACTTACATGCGCCCACCCTTCTCTTCGTGCAGGGCCGACTCTTCATGCCAGAAGGTCATGGAAGCACTCGGATACGTCATCTCATACTTCGATTTGGACACTGCTGGTACGAGTCTTGTACGCCTGTCGTCGACGCAAATACTGACAAGACATAGATTACACGACCTTGGACAACATTGCCGTCGCACAGGCCAACTTCAAGTATGGCATCGACAACATCAATAATGAGAGCGTGATGGGGGGCAACGGCGACAAGTTGGCGATCGCCCACGACATTCACCAGGCAACTGCCGTCGACTTGACAAAGTACATGATCGACTACCTCAAGGCGAACAACCTGAGGGGTGTCACTATGGGAGAATGTCTTGGTGATCCCGAGGCCAACTGGTACCGTGACTCAACTGCGTCTCCCCCGAGAGTCAGCTCCACCAGTGCCTCTGCCTCCGCTGCTACCCCTACCGGCCCCGCATCTGTTGATGGTGCTTGTGGAACCAAGTCCACGGAGGGCAAGGGACAGTCTTGCATTGGTTTCACCGGCCCTCTCGGTCTCAGCGAGTGCTGCTCTCAGTAGGTGCTGACCCTATGTTTAACACTAGTTAAGCTGACTCAATGGATTAGGTACGGATGGTGTGGAAACACGGCTGATCATTGCTCCACCGGATGCCAGGCTGGCTTTGGAAAATGTGGTAATAATGAGATCAAACCCACTGCTTCGTCCACCGCCAGCACCGCTGCTTCTTCCGCCAGCGTGAGCCGTCCACAGTCTTCCCCGAACGCGCATGCATCTTCATCGATTCCTGTCCAGACGACTTCCTCATCTGCATCACAGCCAACTGGCGCATCTTCCAGCCACCAAGCTCCATCATCTACTCACGAGGCCGAATCATCAACGATCTACCCCACTGGCTCTGCCTCGAAGGACACCACCCACTCAACCATGTCCTACCCTGGAGAATACCCTGTTGAAACCCCAGTCCACCCATCCAGCAGCGCCACAAATTTCTACCCCGTTGACACCCCCGTAAACACCCACACCCCCATCTATGAGGCCAGCTCCTTCTCCACTGCCATTGTGAAGCCCAGCGCAACTGCCTGCAAGGCCCCCAAAGTCTCCACCATGGCCCCTAAGCCCACTGACCCTGTCAGCAAGGACGGCAAGTGCGGCAGTAAGAACGGCGGGCACACTTGCGCCGGCTACAAGACGCCATTTGGCGAGGAGATGGGCTGCTGTTGCGTTACCAGCGGTAAATGCAGCAATGACCCTTGGGCTTGCAGCGCTGCTGGATGTGATAAAGGATATGGAAAGTGCAACGCTCACTAAGGATTTGTCGATGTGTATGATGTGTATATGCGTGTCGTATATTTGTATAATGTAAAATCTTGTTCGTTTCACTTCTGGTGTTTTGGAGGCGGTTTGGAGTATGGTGGGAAGAGAATAATGATGTGAGAGCAACGTAACGCTCATTGTAAACTTTTCCATATCGGGAGCTTATACTTTTATGTGATTTTTGTGCACCTGCAATGTGTGGGACCTCAGTACTTGGGGATCGTGTTACAGGTGCCAGATGCTGTGGCGCCCAATTATATACCTGTGCCTATGCAACCCGGATGTCTCGGTTGCTTATAGTATGCGCATGTGTGTTTTCCATAAGATTTTTAGCGTCAAATATACCAATAAAGCAATCTGTTAACACTGTGACGATGGAGTGTCTTCTGGCGGCATGGCTGAATAACTTTACCTTCTGAGAAGGCATAGTTAACGGAATGCTGAACTTGTACATGATATCTCAATTGCGCTCACTTTTAATCTTCACGTGTGTCATCTACCAAAGGCAATGACGGGCGCAGTTTTGCAAAAGCGACCCAGACGAGAAGCGCTAGAATCGTCTGCACGAGAATGGCGAATCGGAACACACCGATGCCCAAGCCTTGTACAACAGCGCCAATTGCAAAGGGCAGGAAAGCTCCCCCAGTCTGTCCCAGTGAAGCAACAAATGACACTGCCGCGACATGTAGCTCTCCCGGTAACAAGCGAGTCAAGACGACAATCGCAGAAGGGAACATAGGCCCCATGACGAATCCCAATAGTGTCATCAACACAATGGACACCGCTGAGGATGAAAATATGGCGAACAAGGCTTCCAAACCGACAGCAAGGAGGAAATACAGTGCCGTCGCACGACGTACACCCATCCTGTCCGTAGCAAAACCTAGAGAAATCCGTCCGATGACCATGCCAATCCAGTACCCGGAAGACGTCAGACCAGCAACATAGGGTGTTGCATCGCGACTTCGTAGCATAAAAGACACCACCCAGCCAGATATTGCCGTCTCAGTGCCAACATAGGTGATGAAGTATGCCGCGCAGAGCCAGACTGCAGGGTACCTGAACATGGCCTTGATATCTGGCCTGGCGTCCGTGAGTTCCGACTGCTTGCTTTTTCGATACGCAGCTGCGTCTTCATGGCGGAATGCTGAGACAAGTAGCAGGAATGATACTCCTGACGCACCCGCCTGTACTTGTCTTAGTTTGCAGACCATGGCGATTATGTATTGGGAAAGAAACTTACCAATATGGAGTACCACAAATGCCACGGCCTATGTCTTGTAGTAATCGTCGTAACAAGAAATGGCCCCGCCGCCCCACCAAGCGAATAACTCCCATGAAGCATTCCTGAGATCGTATTCGCTTTTTCCATGCTGCCTGCCCACGCACACCAACTCCCGTCCAAAAGCCCCGATCCCAGGCCCTGAAACGCAAAAGCGACCAAGACCATGCCAAAAGAGGGATGCGAGGCCACTGTTGCTGTAGAGATAAATTGGAAAACTGGACCAATGGCTGCTATACCACGCTGGCCGTAGCGAGCGTGGATAGAGTCGCTACATTGTGCAGCAATTACGTAGCCAACAGGGCCGGCGAGGAAGATGAGAGAAACGTGGAGGTCGGTCAGGTGGTAGTGGGAGGACAGTAGGGGGAGAACAGCACCCATGGAGGAATTGAACAGGCCGAGGGTGGAGAAAGAGAACATTGCCGCTGCGATCTTAAAGACGAGTCGGTTCGACATTGCGCTTTGGGTCGGTAGCAAGGCCTCATTTCGAACTGTTGTATTTTCATTCGAGTCGTCGAGTAAAGGAGACTCCTCAGAAGTGACAATCTGGTTGGCCATGTTGCAACGTTGCGTCTTGGTTTGGTACGCGAGATGCTGGGGTGGTGATAAGTATTCCTAACAGGGATAAGTCCTATATCCGCACATTGACCTGCTTGATGATCCAATAGTTGATTAAGCTACTCGTTTTGGATGTATACGGTGAATGAGTGTATATTGTTCATCCTATTCCGTTCATCCCAGGGGTGAGTTAGCCGTTGGCCGAGGCTAAGGAACCACGCTAAGTGGATGACATCACCCAAGCATGGATATAGTTTGAAACCATGGCAAGTTTCTCCTCATCTTTCCCTTTATATCAATAATAATTCATCTTCGGATTCTCTATTCTTAACCAATTATGGAACACTATACTACGCTTGTATGCGGGAGGACTGCTGACTCTCAAAGGCGATCATTTAGATTTCTAGTCCGTTACTTGTGTGTCTTGCATGGCAAGATTTAACGAGTATCATCCATGTAAGACGCAACCTCGTAGTTAGAAGATTCTTCGGACTGCATTCGTCAAATGCCTGTATTGGACATTGTGATGTAAAGTTATATTGCGTGAGGTAGCGTGTCCCGTCCGCTTGTCATAATCAGTGGCCAACATGTACTAATAGTATACCACGGTCGACAGTACCCAGGCCTTGAAGTTGACGACTCTGAAAAAGACTTGTAGCTGAAATCTGGAGAGGACGCATGAGTGTACCGGTGACACTGTGGTCACTTCGTTTTTGAGAACAGCAATGATGACTACGCGCACCATCACAACGCCGACCACGCACATTCAACATTCCCCTTTGAAACTATCCCATCTGAACTACCGACTCTTATCCTCATCCCGCCCTGGCCAAACAATTTCCCTCCTCCAAACAGCCCTCACACACCCTACAGCGGCCACGCTCCAAATCCCTACCAACAAGACCGTCATCACACTCGCAACCCACAACACCGGCTCACTCTCCAGCTCTCTCCCAATGGCACTCGTCGAAAGCATGAACCCCACATTGGGAAAGATAAATGCCCACCAACTGAGCGAAAACGGCATTCTGCCCACCACGACCACATTTCCCAGTACCGCCAGCGCAAACAACCAAAACCCAAACAGCCAGAGGAATATCCCCATGAAGAGCGCCAGGATCTTGAGAACTTCTACCGCTGTGGGATGGCGTGCCAGATAGCCCGTAGAAGAAGTTTCAGATAACACATTCGCCAGTCCAATCACTGCGACAACAGTAAACGCGCAACTCCCCACAGGGATAAACATGCCTGGTCTCAATGCCGGTGGTGGTAGTCCCTGATCTAATGCGCTCCGAAGATAGCTCACGATAGCAATGAACGATATACACCATCCAACCCCCTGCCACGCGACTCCACTAACCACGATTGCCAGCCTCCTCTCCTCAGGCTGCGATCTAGCAATTAAACTCGCAATAGTCCCAGTCAGCATCGCACTATATCCCACGAGAAAGAGACTAGGCGAATACGGGATTGGACGGACGGTGCTGCAGGAAATCAGGATCCAGTACTGCAAGATGGAGTTTAGCAGGGAGATGGCGGCGTAGATCCAGTACAGGACGTGAAGAGTGGAGATGAGCCAATGGTATGCGGGACCGTGTGCCACGCCGTAGAGTTGAATACAGCCGATGATGACGCTGATGGAGAGGAAGAAGGAACCCAGGAAGAAGGATTCAGCCGGGTGCGTGAAGGCGGCTTTGAAGTGTTGTGGGTGAAGCAGGTAGCGGGCTAGGGTTAGAGAGCATAGTAGTAGAAAGAGAGCGATGTTGAGGAAGAACACCACTAGGCCGATTTCCGTGAGACCTGTGTTGAAGGGTTGAGTTTTTTTTGTACATGTATGGGAGAGGGGCTATGGCTGCTGATTACGTACCGTTGAATCTATGAGGAGTCTCGGCGAGCGCGATGGCGAGGCCGCCTGTACTCATTGTGCATAGAAACCAAGCAAATGTAAAGTGTTTCAATCTCTCACGTAGCCCGACATTGGCAAGTTCTTGCCCCTGCTGTTGATTTTGTATCGCGGTTGGCTTTTGCGAAGGCGACTCGGCCATTGTGCTGGGTTCTGACATGTTTGCAAGCTCGATGAACCGGGGATTCCGATATCATATCACTTGGGGATACCTCAACTTCGAGGCTGGTTGACGTCTTCCTTTTCTAACATGTTGGATGGACGGTGGTGACTACGGCGTGTGTCACTAATGGATAATGTGAGAGATCCCTAGGGTTGGTTCAAGGGCTCCGGCAGTCGATTTCATTTGAAGTTGCCCACGAGGAGTTGAGGTTGGGCGTAGATGTCGGCGGCAGGGCTGCGGCTTAACTTGGTTTCCGTTAAACCCTATTTCCGGGGTTGACGCAAGGGTATCATCGGCCTGTTCGGCCGCGGTATTACTCGTCGGCCTGTCTTGCCATCTAGGTACGCATATCAAAGAGATAGTTATTAGTTCTTTAGGAAACAACATCATCCTTAGACAAGCAAAAATTCAAACATAGGCAAAACCTATGCAATTCGCTCAATCTGATCTCTCGCCTGTTTCTTCCTTTCCCTAACCTTCCACTGGATATCCCCCGGTTGCGGCCACCTGTAATTTACCGGCGACTCGCCCCCTACGAACACGCACAAATCGTACATGAACCCCCCGACCAACGCACCGCTAATTGATGCACCCCAGCTTCCATAGGCCCAGTAGCCTGTGGCGAATGCCTCCTCGTAGCCCACCCACATGGCGATGAGTCGGGGACCAAGGTCACGCGCAGGTGAGATGCCCAAGCCGGTGTTGTAGCCGAGTGCAATCATGGTGACGAAGACGGTGAAGCCAAAGATCAAGGCTGTCATACCTTGACCCGGCGGCGAATTCTGGTCGTCGCCGAGGGCAAATGCGATGCAAACGTATACTGCCATGTAGACGAAATCGTTGAAGAAGCCGCTCGAGGTCGAGAATTGGGGGCCCTTGGGGAAAAGCGCGCTGCCTGTTTTATCAAGAGTCTTACCAGGGTCAACGGCAATGATTGCGTCGCGGTATAGCCTGTTGGGGGGTTAAAATGTTCAGTTGAGTTTTTTTTAGAGGTGTAGGCATGAAGGCAAGGATGGAACTTACGCGTATGCTAAGCCTCCTGCACAAAGTCCGGCCAACATTTGCATACAAATATATACGATGGCCATTTTCCAAGGGAAACCACGATAGACAGAGAGAGAGATGGAGATTGTGGGACTCAAGTGAGCCCCGGATACACCGCCGGCCACGTAGATTCCTATCATGACGGCGAAACACCAGCCCCAGGCTTGCGTTTCGAAACTGCCAGTGGAGTTTTCAGAAGTAGCAACAGAAAGATTGACGCAGATGCCGATGAAGAGGTAGACAAAAGTCTGTGATAGAAGAGTAAGTGTAAAGTGAAACATGCGTTGTGCACAAATATACATACAGCGAGAAACTCGGCTGGAGCTTGTGGGTACTGTGCGCGTAGCCTGGCGATTGGGTTTCGGTATTGATTATAAAATTCCTGTTCAGCTTTCTGCTCGTGGTCTTTGATTTCCGCTTCCTCTTTCTCTGAGGCGGTCGTTTGATGCGTGTCTAACTCTTGTAGCGGCGGAAGTCCATCTTGCATACCAAACTGTTGTTGCTGTCCACCATCATTGGCATATTCGAGACCGTGATTGTTTACTGGTGCCCTATCTCCGCTCTGCTGCCAGGCTCCGGGGCTCTGAAATGATGCATCGGACTGGTGGGTCGGTCTTCGGTGTGTGCTCGTTATGCGGCTACTATTCGCCATGGTCTGGAATGGGTCCTGGGGTTCGATATCATGATCGAAGCCTACCAAGTGAAGGTTGTTAGTACGTTATGCCGAGCAAGAGGATCATGAGTGAAGACCCACTCTTTCCATCATTGAATTCAAGTCCATCTTGCCTCCCAACACCATCCCCATCACCTCTCTCTTCCTTACTCAATGACCTTTGCAAGTCTCCTCGCCCCCACCACATACCCTTGCGAACGGTACGCGGAAGGGGGGCTGCCAATCCGAAAACTGGCTTGTCTTTCTGTTGATTATACCAAGGGTTCAACCTGAAGTATTCATTCTCGACTTCCACCTTCTGCTCTTGCGACTTCTCGGGTCGTTGTGGTGGGTCGCGAGTGACACCTCCACGGTCTGTCCGCTGGGTATGTGAGCTCCTAGCTGTCTCCAATCTCGGCATCGCAGTTGGCAGTCTGCTCAGCCGCTCGTTCTCTGGCCGCGGTGGCCCAGAGAGACCCAGGTGATCAGTAACATATCTCCCAATACTGGATGCAGTTGATCGCGTGTGGTCTAGCTTTGATGGTCTAACTTCTGAGGCTGGTTGCTGGTCCTGCTCTGTGTTTGCTTCATTCGAATGATCGCCTTGCGGCGCTTTAGCTAAGATGGATGTTAGACCTACCACTATTAACAAACACTCCGTCGACAAGGTGCAATGAAACGGATGACAGAATTCCTTTCATTTTTACTTTTGCTGAGAAATCTCTGTAAACTTACTGTTGGGCGTTGTCGGACGTGGTTCCGACATGGTGATTCGGAATGGCCACTATAGATGACGGATAGAAAGACTTAGGCCCAAGTCAACGCAAGGCAGGATAAGGTTGAATATAATCTTTAAGACGTTTTGGTATGCGCAGCTAACAGATCATATAGTGAAATGGGATTTTGAAATGCTGTCATGGAATTTTCACAATCGCATATGCGACGTCATTACGATGAAGCTTTTTCGCAGCAGGGCCCATATATATGTGTTGTGGGTCATGGTGCAACATGTTCGTATGAATGGCCATCAGCAGCACTTGCTTGGCTAACGAGGTCAATGATAGGAAATATAGTTCTTCCGTCTCTCAACGGAAGAATTACATGGCGCGATATGATTCTGCTACAGGGACAGAAAGCTACTTAGATGGATGTAAAGTATAATCGGAAGTGCGGGTCGGCAAAAGAGCCTCAAATTTTAGGTCTGCAAGTACTATTGTAGAGTACAGTAGCACGGAGAATGTTGTCTGTCATGCAGAAGGTGCCGTTCCTCCGTCTCACAGTCATGCATTGCATTGTCGACTCGACCCACTTGGCGATGGAATGCCGATGGAAAGTCGGCGAAGAAATTCTGCTGTACTAGTATTGTATAGTAGAGTAGAGGCGTGTGGCTCAGCGCGCACCAAGTGTGGAGTTGTCGGCGAAATTTGCCATGTTTGCCGACTTGTCTCCGCAAGGAATTACTTTATTTGTACTGCTACGCTTGGGTGTCTGCACACTTGTACAGCCCGTTCACCCCGGGTGTGGGGTCACATGGGAAAGGGGAAAGAATGGCTTGGCTGGGTGATTACTGCAACATCTCACGAGACAGCCATCAGCTTGTTCTGCTCTTGAGCAAGGGTCAGTCCCTCTGGTGCCTGGCGGAAGAGCACAATCTCCGACTGCTTGAAGTATCGTCGAGCATCTTGGACGAGGTCAACTAGGCACAGTTTCGTGAGTCATGGAGAGACACATACCTTCATCAATCAGAACCAAACTCAAGTAATAGCGAGTCGAGTACTTCTTGTTGACTTCGCGGAAGGTGGGTGTGAGGTCGAAGCCGCCGAGGAATAGCCTGATGGGTATCGTTTCTCCTACATGATGGTTAATGAGTAGGATGCCAAGGTAGTCTCGCATCTTGCTACCTACCGCGCGAGGGCGAGCCATCCATAATCTCAAAGCGCACCAGCGTCTCGCTCTCGTTGTACTGGTTCGGGGCCGCACCGGTTGTCTCCCGCCGGATGATGGACAGCTCCATGTGCTTGATCTTTAAGCGGACGAGCAGAAAGTAGATTCTGCCGACAATCACGTCTTTGAGATGGTATTTCGACTTGGAGTACTCAAACTCAATGTGTAGACAGTCCTCAATACCGACATCCATCTTGATCGAGCTGTTTGTCTCTGGCGGTATCCGATAGGAATACACCCACAGGTCTTTTTCTCGTACGACATCTGCCATTCTCCGCGACACGGTGACGCGGACAAAGTAGCGCAGCTTTACGTTGATGCCATTGTACGACTCGTATTGCTTCTCGACATTCTTGAAGTTGAAGTCGAACGTCTGCGGGTGCTGGAGCTCGCCGGGGGCGGCTAATTCCTGGCCGAGGGAGAGGAATTCGTAGTGGTTCCCGCGATCAAAGAACATTTCTGTGTTGTGCGGCCTGACATCAGCTCCCGCTTCACGCCGTCTCAGCATGTGGAGAGGAAAGGGGCCTCACCGATTGTGCCAATGAACTGGACCTTGATGCCCGTATGCTCGAGTCTTTTGCCATCCTTGGGCCGTACCGTCACCTGGCCCTTGACCGACTCGCCATCGAGATAGAGGGGCACCTTTTCTTTGCGGTTCTTGTCCAGCTTGACATCTACGGCTGACCGGTCATCGAGGTCCTCGAGCACAATATCGATGTCGACCGGGGTGGAGAAGAAGTAGGACATGGTGGGCTGTGGGAAGCCGGCGTGTATTTGGCGATGGATGCAGCAGCTATCAGGCTAACAGACGATCAGCAAGCAGCAAGGAGCAAGCAGCTCCGACTGAAGATGCCGGTTGCCGGCTTGCGAATGGATCCAAGGCCAAGGTCAAGGGTAAGGCTACAATACAATAGGTACAGTACCTAGACGGGTTGTGCAATGATACTGTAGGTACGGTACTCTCTACTGTGGATACCGTAGGTTCGGTATAGTCGTGGTAGGCATTGTAACAGCTGCTGCGCCCCAGCTGTGGCAGGTTTCGTGGTCTGTGCGGCAAGCTACTACGCCACCTCTCCCTTCCCCTATAGTAGCAAGCTTGAGGTACCGGCACCTAACAATTGTGCCCTCCGTCACGTGACCCGAACTGCCCCCGCCCTTCCAAGCTTCTTTCGCTCCAACCCCCTTGCAGCCCTTGCAGCCCATTTCCCATTTCCCATGTCCCCCTCTCCCCCCTCCCTCCACACCTGCACTCCAGTATTGTATCGTACTACTCCTATCGCAATCAACTCCCGGAACAGCGCTTTGCCATAGCCGATGTTACATCATCGTGTCTCCGTCCCTCAATCTGCTCAGTGCTCACATCAGCCAACAGCTTGCCTTTCCCCCCGCTCCCCCCCCCCTACCCCCCATCTTCTTTTCCAACACACACCAGCTTCCTCGCTCCAACCTCCTTGTGGAACCACGTCATGTCCTGCCGCCAGCCCTGCCTGCAGGCAGTCACCTGCTCTTGCTCTGCCAAAACAAAAACATGCAATTTACAGATTACATACCGGCCAAGCTGCACACGAGCAACTGCAGCTTCGGGGCGTTTCACTCCAGAGAGAGAGAGAGAGAGAGAGAGAGAGAGACAGAGAGAGAGCCAGAGCCAGAGCCTAGGCTAGGCATCTCTCTAGGGCTTCCGTAGCGCCATTTTCCTGCAGTCTGCTACCAGCAGAGCCTTCACTCACACTCGCCTTTTCTTTTCTTCCAAGCCTCAACCATCTGTCCCAAGGTTCCGGCCCGATGCACTCCAGATGCGTTTGCCTGTGACCCCCACGCGCCATTATCAAATGCCATCTCGTCGTCTCGCTCTTGTACATAGGCACATGAGTACATAGCCAGGCTCTATGCTTTACACAAGTTTGCTTTCATCACAAACTTCAGCTGCCTTGATGGCTGGTGACACCGACCAGTGTGCCATCACGCCAATATCATGTCGTCTGCGCTGTCACCGAGCTGTGCCGACAACGCATGCAAGATGCATCAGTACCTGACCATGACTGGGGTGCAGCATGCGGGGAGACGATGGTTTGCCAATGGCCGAATCGTTTAGCCTTCCCCCCGGCTGACTACTCTAGTAGGCAGCCCGCCACAGGCAAACGCCATCATCCCACACGCCCAGGCCCACTCTCAAACGCCGACGTTCTCCCACATCATCTCTTTCCAGTCCTCTCAGCTTCCACGAGGCCCGCCTTGCCGGCCAAGGGTCTCTTTGTTGCTGCGAATCGCAAACCGCGCTCTGATGATGCTAACCCGAGACCCCCGCCCGGCTTTCGCTAATTCGCCTCCGGGACGAGTCCTGCTGAGGTAACATCACCATTCGGCCATCTAGCTGTTCTCAACCTAAGATCCCACCCCTACCGTCATGCGCCGCGGGAGGAATTTCCTAACCTCGTTTGCTTGTGTCCTTAAAAGGAACGGCATCCCGGAGACGTCTCGAGAAATTCCTGATTGCATCTTTGACCAAACCGACATAGACTCGTAAATTACACCCAGCTGGCTAGCACATTATACACAAACTGGAACCCAACCACACAACCCTTTGTCTCTAGCAAACTAAATTACTATTTACATCCGTGCTTGCTCCCACAACTTGGACACTGCATACTGTTGCACGCGCCAACACAGTCAAAATGTTGCAAACCATTGAGCAACCGCACGCAAAATCAATGTATTTCAATGCGCTGCCCACACCTCCTGTCTCCAACACGGCTTCACCATCCACTTCATCTTCTGCCGCAAATACCGACAACAATACTACCATGTCGATGCCAAATCAACACCACATCCTGATCGTGACCGGTCCCGCAGGATGCGGCAAGAGTACTGTGGCTCAGTTCCTCGCTACACGCTATGGTTTTGACTACATTGAGGGTGACGAGGTGGGTTGTCGACTGATTACGTCATGCGCCACGTGGTACTTTTTACTGACCGTCCTTAGTACCACCCAAAAGCGAACATTGACAAGATGGCTGCCGGAATCCCGCTCAATGACGAGGACCGCTGGGACTGGCTCATTCTTCTCCGAGACTCAGCGCTCACCAAGTTGAAGGAAGGCGCCAAGGGCGTCGTGGTCACCTGCAGCGCGCTCAAGAAGAAGTACAGAGATGTCATCCGCACCGCCAAACTCTACGACGAGAACCTAGAGGCCAACGTCCACTTTGTCTACCTTCGCGCTGACAAGGAGACTCTTCTCGCTCGTGTTCGCGCCAGGAAGGGCCATTACATGAAGGATGCCATGGTCGAGAGCCAGTTCGCCGTGCTTGAGGAGCCCGACGAGACAGAGTGCAAGCAGCTGAAGGACGTTGAGATTGTCGATGTCAAGGGTCCGCTACAAGAAGTGCAAGAATTGGCTAGCGCCGCCGTGGACACGGTGCTATCATCAAGGCGCCCTCATTGACAAGTCATGTTCTTTTGCTGATTGCGACCGTATTCGTATTTTTGTTACTCTTATTGCATAGACTCGGGGCAGCAAGCATCTCCTTTTGGATTCATGGGCAACGGCGTATTTGAACAAATATATATATATATACCCCTCGGAGCATAGGCAGGCTTGAGATAGGAGGTATCAGAGAGGGACGATCCGGGAGTGGGGGATACCTAGGCAACTCTTCATTCAACCAGTGGCCGAGGCTTGCTCACGTATGACGACTTGGCATATTTATCAACAATGGATTCAACTTTGTATTTGTTGTTACCCGTTTTCAATGCGTGAGATGACCATGGCACGTGCTTCTACTTTCCGATAGATGGTTGAAGCAGTGACAGCGGTGAGCAATAGACATTCGGAGAAGCAACTGGTCAGCGGAACAGACAGAGAGCTGGTTTTCTTTTGTCTCCGAATGTGGCTCCAAGCACGTACTCGATCAAGTCACGTACCTAGGAGTAGGTATGCAACCGCTTCCTATTCTACCCAGGAACATGGAAAGCCAGGGGACAGATTGCCATGGGTATAACTTGATGACGCAGTAATGGACGACGAGATATCATCACTTTGGTGTAACTTGCTCTCCCTCTTTTCTAGATTGAGTATATTATGGCTTAGCAGAGCCTATAAGATCGCCCAAGACCAGGACTAGGCCTGGCCAATGCATGGCAGTCTTCCTACTCTACCATGCCATGTAGAGTACCGGTAGGTACATACTGAGGATGCAGATCGTTCACGCATGTCACAGGAACGGTTGGGAAGGATTATGTACCGTCTTGCTTCTGCTGCATAAGCGACTGCAGCAGGGTACAATACAAGTACAGCATGTACAATACCCGTTGTGGGGTGGATACTTGATGCTGGGCATGGAGAACGGCGATTTGAGGCCATAGTTGTCACTGCCCGTACTTGGCACCGAAGCCCTTGCACGTTTGCCCTATTATCAAAGGGAGAAAAACAAAATCAAAAGGGTTTTGTAAGACACACATGGTAACGTGTACAAGAAATCTGTACGGTAAATGGATGGATTCAATGCGAGGATGGAAAGCTTGATGGAGAAAGTTTGCTTCTTGCAGGGAGCAGGCCTACCTAGGTACCGGTATGTAGTGCTATGCTATGACGTTCTCCTCAACAAAGTCCATTCCCTATTTTCTGTTCTGCAGCCCCTCCTCCCATGCTTCTTCCATATACATCCACACACCCCCCCCCCCTACTCGCCGTGCCAGCCGCAAGGAAGCCTGATATCCACTGCACTTTCGACAACCATGCTGGCCCCCTCTCAAAAAATTGGCCTCCTCACTGGTCTCTGCCGCAATCCGTGATCCGTGATCCCCGCAAGCGTTGGCTGTGCGCGCTGGTAAAAGAGATAAGCTCCCGGCGGCGCCAAGTTTATCTACTTACCTACCTACTACTGTACTTACCTCCCTACCTACCCGGACCGAATTGCGCGCCTCTTTTCTTCACCACGGATCCGCCTGGACCCTTCGGCCAAAGATACACCCTATCTCCTGGATCGAACCAGATATATAATATGCGTTGCTGCTAGTCGCGTTGCTGTTTCTGCTCTTTTTCATCCACCATATACTGTTCCTCCTCTTCTCTTCGGCTTTCGCCATCCTTAATCAGCGAACCGTGGCCATGCCGTCGCGTTTGTTTCAGCGCGACTCGAGCTTCGCTGAGCAGCAGCTTCCCTTTACGGGCGACAATGTCCAGGATACCGACTTTGCGCCAGACCAATCGCAGGCAGAGATGGGAGCCAACACCCTCCCACGGCGGATAAGAGCCCAGTCGATCACCTCTGGTGCCCTCTCTGCCTCGTACACGCGCAATCCTATCCGCTCATTTGCCCACCAGACGTCACATGGCTTTGCAGGTGAGTGTTGTGTTCATGTCAGAAACCTTTGTTTTCCCCAATTGACTGATTCACTTTCTAGAAACCCCTCAGTACTCGTCCCAAGGCGTTCGCGAAAGAAGCTCTCAATTGGCCTCGTACGCCCTCGACTCGGAAATTTATCAGGACCGAACACAGCAAAATAGTTTTGCAGATCCAGACACAAATTCTGCATTGATCTCCGACTACGGCGAGCCTCGCCCATCGTCAGACTCGGGACGCTGGACAGATACCATTGCGGAAGACAGCGAGGCCGAGACACCACAGACCGTCATCGGCCCCCAGCATGGAGACAAGAGCTTCTTCAGCCCTAGGGAGGCAGAGGAGCATACACAATGGGGAGACTCTCGCAAGGGACAGCCGAGTATGGGCCAGCCTGAAATAGTGGTCCAAGACAGTGAGCGCACGCCGTTGCTTCCTGCGCCAAGACTGTCGCGTCCAGACTCGCAGTCACAGCACAAGGCAAAGAAGAGGGATTCGTTTGAACAAACCAGCTTCCCAAATTTGTCTTCACGGGTCCAGAAGAGCTTTTCAAATGGCCGTGAGCTCGTGGCCAGACTTGGCCGCTCTCTAGCGAACCCCAAGAATTACACGGCGGATGCCTTGGTCTCTGGAGCCCTCAGCAGTCTACAGATCACATCAGCCGTCTTCCTTGGCCTGTTGCTCAACCTGCTAGATGCCCTCTCTTATGGCTACATCTTGTTCCCTCTTGGCTCGCCCATCTTCAGTCAGACAGGTCCAGACGGTATTTCCATCTTCTTTGTGAGCTGCATCGTCTCGCAATTGTGTTACTCCCTGGGCCTGTCCATGTTCAAGGGCGGCGTCGGATCTGAAATGATTGAAGTGGTGCCCTTCTTCCATAAAATGGCCTATTCCATCATGAATCAGATGAAAGGTGAGCCATCGGAAGCCATCATTGCCACAACGATTGTATCCTATTGTCTAAGCTCCATCTTGACGGGTCTCATCTTTCTTGCCTTGGGTGGCTTCAAACTTGGCAACCTCGTTAGCTTCTTCCCACGGCATATTCTGATTGGCTGTATCGGAGGTGTCGGATTCTTCTTGATGCTCACTGGCATCGAAGTCTCGGCCCGCATCGAAGGCAATCTCAACTACGACCTAGAGACATTGCAAAGGCTATTCTCGGCGGATACATGGTATCTTTGGGTGCTGCCGTTGACACTTGCCATTGCCATCATGGTGCTCCGGCGCACGATTGACAGCCCTTTTGTTCTGCCTGCATTCTTCATATCCGTATTTGCCATCTTCTACATTCTAGTCAAGGGCATTTTTCACACGGATCTCGAGGTTGTTCGCAACGCAGGCTGGATCTTTGAGAAACCCGAGGCTGGCGTCAAGTTCTATAGATTCTACTCGTACTTCAGTAAGTTGCTATGGATTCGATGTTCAAGTGGACCCATTACTAACATCTCACTAGAGTTTGGGAGCATAAATGCATCAGCCCTGGTTAGCACCATCCCAACAATGTTCGCCTTGTCCTTCTTTGGCATTATTCATGTTCCTATCAATGTCCCTGCATTAGGCGCTGCTGTCAAGGAGGACAACCTCGATGTAAACCGAGAATTGATCGCCCATGGCATCTCCAATACTCTGTCAGGATTCTTAGGTAGTATCCAAAACTACCTCGTCTACGCCAACAGTGTCATGTTCATCGATAACGGCGGGAACAGTCGAACTGCAGGTGTGTTGCTCGCCTGCGCAACTGCAGCTGTATGGGTAGCAGGCCCGGCGATGATTGGATACATTCCCATCTGTTTAGTTGGCGCCCTTATCTTCTTACTAGGCATCGATCTTATGAAGGAGGCACTGTGGGACACCTTTGGCAAATGCCACAAGCTAGAGTACTTGACCATTCTCGCCATTGTTCTCATCATGGGCATACACGATTTTGTTGTAGGTATTTTTGTTGGCATTGTTCTTGCATGTGTCAGCTACGTCGTACAGAGCTCTCGTCACCCAGCCATCCGGGCCACATATAGCGGTACCATTGCTGAATCGACCGTACGCCGCCCTCCAGCAGATTCCCGCTATTTAAGCAAGGTTCGCGGCCAAGTCCGTGTCATCAAGCTGGGAGGATTCTTGTTCTTCGGCACCATCGTCTCGGTAGAGGAAAACATACGTTCGCTCATTGACAACGACAACTTTGAGAAGCACCCTGTGAGCTTCATCATTGTTGACTTTACGCATGTCATGGATATGGACTTTTCGAGCTCCGAAGGTTTCCAGCGTATCAACCGTATCTTGAACCGTAAGAATGTCAAGATGATCATTTCCGGTGTCTCTTTCGCCAACCCCGTCGGTCGTGCCCTCCAGAATGTCGGTCTGTTGGACGAGGATAACGGCGATGAAGAATGCCCCCCACCACAAGTTTTCGAAGATCTCAATACTGCCCTTGAGTCCTGTGAAAATGAGCTACTGGAAGTCTTTCATAAGCATTGCGCGAGACAAAGCTCCAGACAACAGTCCACTCCTCCCATGACCATCACTGACGCAAAAGGCATTTCCACCTACGGCCAAACCGCCACGGGGGGCTCTCCAACCTCATTCGGCGCCAGTTCCTTGAATCCCCAATTTTCCTCGCCTCGCCGCGGCGCTCGCCTCCTAGCCGCCCGCTCGACCATGCGCGAATCTGGCGACGACACCCTATCTCTTCCCGACAATGCCTCGCAAGGCTCCAGCCAGCCCACACCAAACACCCCCTCTCGCTGGCGCAACTTTGCCCAGCCTCTCAAAATCATCCTACAAACTTTTGAAGATGTATCCACCCGCAATGAAGATTTTTGGCACGCCGTAGCGCTCTACTTTGAGCGCAAAGAATACGCTGCCGGTACGGTTCTCTACTCGCGTGGCGACGACCCAGATGGGTTTTATATTCTTGAAAAGGGACGATTCAGAGCAGAGTACGAGTTAGACCAGGGTAGCTTCTTTGAAGTCATTCTGCCCGGAACGACGTGTGGCGAGCTGCCCTTCTTCTCAGAGACGGATCGCACGGGCACGGTGGCGGTGGAGAATGATAGCGTGGCCTGGTTGCTGACGAGGGAGAAGTTCAACGAGTTGGAGCGTAGGGATGGGGAAGTGGCGAGGGAGCTGCTGAAGGTGGGGTTGAAGTTGACAAAGGAGCGCATGGATGCGATTACTAGTTATGTGCTTGTTACTGCTTCGTGATGGGGGGCATGGGATAGCAGGGCTTACAGAAGCTGGAGCTATTTGGAGCGCGGATATGATAGCGGGAGGAAGGGGTGTGTCTTTTTCCATGTATACAATTTCAGCGCGGAGTTGGGTGGGGGTGATTTGGATCAGTGTGGTTCAGATTGATGATGTTTTGTTTAGCACTGATCACGATGGCTATGTATCATCTGCACACGCACACGGATGTTCGGTCTGTCTGATTCGCCTGTGTTGTGTGTGTGTGTGTGCGTTTGTTAGAATGATGAGCACATGGAGGAGATGATATCCAAATAAGCATTTTTGAGCCGTATTAGGCGAATTGACTACCATGACATCGACTCAAATCTATGAACCAACAAGGGGGCTTATATTCCTCAAATAAGTCTGTTTAAGAGTGTTGCAACGCCCTCTCCATATACAGCAGCACCTGATAGCCGCAACCACGGTGGACTAGAGATTATCCCGCAACACAGTCTAGAGATTGTTGCACGGTGGTTACCGTTAATGCTCTCCAATTTTTCTGATGGTTAGTGTAAGTGCAACGACATTGGTGTTCTGGGAGTGCGGAAGATCTGCAATTATGTCTCGTGGCACAATCAGATTTGTCGAGGAACGAGGGCGTAAACCACTTGGTGATTTCACCCAGAGAGTTGTTCCGTCGTGTTTACTCGTTACCGCCTGCCATGTGCTATCGGGACTGAAGTGTTCGTTTGCAGCAACAGTCACCTGTAGATCCCCATGTTCGGTTGCGGGGTACCGGTACTTTGTACTTTACCAAGAATTCGAAAGCAGCACAGGTGGGCTTATCTAGGGGAAAAGAGCCGCCCCCGATTTGCATACACAAAAATTTCATAGCGAAGGCCGATGATGCGTTCGGATCCGCTGAGCTGATTTGGATCTGGAGCTTCTTGTGGAGGCGGTCCTGTTGGTGGTGGTCTTCGTCCATGTCCAAATGCTGGTCGATCTGGTGATGCTGGTCGTCGTCGTGGTCCCGAGAAACAGTGAAAGTGGCTCATTGCCCATGAATAACAAGGGTTGTTTGTCGCTTCTGAGATACTATTGTCTCTTAGCTGATTTCGTGCAAAAAAATGTGCTGAGTGGATAGACTTACCTGAACGGTCTAGGAGTACATTGTTTTCTTCCAAGACAGGAGCCGCGATAGCAATTCCAAGAAGGTAGGGAGTGAGGAGAACTGTTAAGAAACGCATATTGTAGATGGTAGATATGCTAGCTAGAATGCGGTCTGCAGCATAACAAAAGACAAGTATAAAACGCTTTCTGCAATGGGCCTCTGTAGATGTTCAGAACCTACACTCTTCCTCCCATTACATCTTCCAAATCTTCTACCTCACATGGTATAACAGCTAGTGTATGTCTTGTCGTATTACAGCCGATAGGTACATCTCACTCCATATTACAAAGTACGCCCATAAAGGACTGTCAGCATTATTAAAGGGTGGCACTGAATATTTAGTAGTCTTTTACAAGACTGCAAATTTCAACGCTAACAGTTTGTTTGTGTGGCATGCCTGTGCTGATAATAAGATAGTTGTCCTACTACGAGTAGTGAGCTGATTGCTACCTAGCTCACTAGACCTAGGTAAGGCGCTTCGCCAATTTCTGGCGTACATCTAATACTACCCAAGGTTGGAATAGATTAAGATAAGGGTGTGATAGGTACGTTCTAGCGTCACGGTGAAAGCCGGAAATTTATTTTATCCACCACCTCTCGTACTGGTCTCTCCTGCTAATTGATCTGCAATACTTGACTCGAGGCCATTACGCCTAAGAAGAAAATACCTGGCGTTGTGAAAGCAGTAATGTTAACAATACTAGTTGCAAGGTCACGTTAATATGTTGGTGTTTAGCAACATGATTCCCACTAACCATGGCTGTCAGGACAGGAAAAGAGTCTACTACTCGTTTGTGTCTTACTATATTACGACCACTTCATGTCCTGCCGTATTATAGCCGATATGCCTCACCCGTATCACGGAATAAACATCTCACTGGTTTACTATTAGTAGGTGTTTTATCGTATTACGGGATTAATAGTCGTGTTAATGTGATAATCCACCTCATGTGGAGCATGGACTTGATAGAGTCTAGTTGCACTCTCAGCGTTTAAGCCATTTGCTTTCGTTTGGACAGCATGATGGAGATTATTACAGGTGGTATGCCTGCCCCTTGAGCCCGAAAACTAACACATCCAACGAAGCAGATTGGCCTAATTCTCCGACAGATTTCTAGCCTCGTCACAGGCAGAAGCACCGAACTTTACCACTCCTGATTGTCAACCACCTAGGCTACCAGTTTCTCAATAGCTTCGGAGATGGTAGAATTCGCCTGCGCTTACTCTTCGCACTAGGTACTGGTGCACGGGATATTTGTGCTCAGATCACAATGCAGAGATCCGTGAATCAGGGCCGTCCACGGCACGTATTGTGGCACAGTAAAGCTGCGGCCTCGCGGGCACTATTATAGTCGATTGGCTTGCATAGAGACGAGCATCATTACTCACCGGAGGTTCGCCAGTCTTTGCTGCTCCCAAGCAATGGTCCCGTGTGCCGTATGCATATTTTTCATGCTTCCAAGGGGGTCCATGTTTGAACATTCGAGTGCCTCTAGTCTGCGACCGGGGAACTTGTTGCATTGCGCAAAGAGATTGTTGCTGTTCCCATCTTGAGGTAATCCAGGGAATTGGACAAGGGGAATGGGCATAGGAGAAGATATTGGCTGTTGCCCGTGCTGATCTTGGAAATGTCCTTCAAGTCACGGCTTACTGGAATCTTGTCAAGCAGGAACAGATTAGAGAAGTCGGAGTAATTCCGATGAAGAGTATAGTAACTTGATGAGATCGGTGGAAAAGGAGGTTTCTGTGGTCAATATCTCCCCGAACTTCCAAAATCCCAACATCAACTCACCAGTCTGGGCTATCGGCGTCAGCATCGTGTCAAGCCCGTCCGCTTTAACAGCTTTTATCCATTTGATCTTTATGCCATGGCCACTTCCTCTATACACCTAATCTCTATACCATAGCCACCTACCCCAGCCCCATATGATCAGTAGAAGCCGAAACAAATTGCCATGTCCTCCCAATCTGCGGGCGTGCACCAAGCAAGCTTCCAAACCTGCCTGTGTCAACCACGCCATGACGGATCAATCCATCACTTTATCCCTACAAAGTGATGGAGTGGTACTTGCATCATGCAATATGTCCACAGTCAGCCGTGGCGAAAGTTCCATACTCTGATGACAGCCATCTTCACCGTGCCATGGTAAACCGGCGTATAAGATCCTCATAGCCTCCTTTGCACGCGCAAAATAACCGTCGCAGTGAGGCCATCTGGAGTGGTTTCACCACCCACAGATACTCCAATAGCAACATGGTAAACTGCCATGTCTGTCTATCCATCCTTTTTCTTAAACAGGACTTTGAAATATCTGTTACACTGATCTTTGCCAGGCTCGCCAGGTATGTGGATGTATCTTTCTCTTTTGGTTTCTCTGGGATGGACTTAAATGTATCTCCGCTTGGAGTTTGTACATCACGTAATGTTCGGTCGGGTAGCGGATGTAACAGTGGTAGTATTTTTTGTACGGATTTTCCAGGGGGCATTCGTCGATCTTGTAATTTTAGAGAAAATGCGTGGCTTCTCCATTGGCAGAGTATGCAACAATTGAGAGTAGTCTTATCCGTCTCCGTGGAATCATTTTTTGATATACTTTTGGGTCAGCATCTTTAGGATATTATCTTGATTTCAAATTATGCTTACACGTCAACAGACGAACTAGACGAATTCCTAATTAGCCTTGATGGCAAACAAGTGGTATGCGCGTGTGGTAACGAAAGGAGAAAATACAAGAGATTGAAGCAAGAGAGTGCGAATGCGAATGTAAATGCGAATATTCTTCAGCGTGCTCCTCGATTCGCCCACCACACCAACCATTCGGCCTATCCAAAACTCCAAGCTCTCCTCTATCCACCTACCTCTACCCCAACGCACTTCATACGCCCTTGGCCTCACACAACCTCCCACTCAAGCTCAACACCGTACCCAACCCCCGATGAACCTCACACTGAAACCCCTCAAACGGGACCCGCTCGCCATCAATGCTAATGTATCCCTGCTCCTGATTCTTTGGAATGATGCGGTACGCGCTCACCTTTTGGTAATCGACGTGGGGGAGATCGAAAAAGGTGTGATTTTCGACCGAGAGGAGGGTTTGGATGGCGGTGAGGCGGGGAATGTCGCCGCGGATGCGGACGAGGTCGAGACAGCCGTCCGAGGGGAGGGCGGCGGGGAAGAAGTTGGCATCGGGGGACATGTAAGATAGGTTTCCGGCGTAAAAGTTGCCGAGTTTGTCGTGGGGGATTAGCTGCCATTCAGAGGGCAAAGGGTCGTTGATGGTTCCGTACTTGAGGGCGGGGAGACCGGCATCGGTGGCCGGGATGGGGCGGTCGTCGGTGGCGCGCGTGGGTTTGGAAGCTTGGGCGCGGTAGGCGTCGCGGACCGAGGGCTTGGTGCTGTTTTCGACTTTGACGGCGATGTCGGCTGGGTAGATGGTCTGCGAGATGAGGCGCACGAGGAAGCCCCAGGTGAAGCGAGCGCTGCCCATCCAGCGGAGGTGTTCGGTTGCGAGGTCGGTTTCTGCGACTATGCCTACGGATTGAGAGAGAAAGGAGAGGGTGCGGCGGTTGCCTTGGGTGATTGATGCCAAGTCCAGGGGAGTTCGTAAGCCTTTGACAACCGCGAGGGTTGCCAGGCTGGGGTCATCCGTTCCGTTGAAGTTCAGACTCATGGCATTGCCTGAACCGCAGGGTAGTTGCGCGACAGCGATCTTGACAAGCGCCCGCGCAGCGTCCGGTCTCTTGCCTAGGCCATTCCAGACCTCATGCGGTATACCGTCCCCCGAAGCGCATGCCACCACATCGTAGGCCTCGATGTCCAAATTCTGCGCAATTTCCACGCCGTGTCCATTGTGCTGCGTCTTCTCAACATCCAGCTCACACCTAGCTGCCGCAAAGATGGGTGCAATAGACTTGTGGTAGATCTTCAAAGCGCCGCCTTGGCCTCCAAATGGGTTAATGAGCACCTTGACGCGCTTGCGTCTTTGCGACACTCCATACGCGCGATCCAATAGCTTTTCGATCCAAGCTTCTGAGAGTCTACCGTCCGGCTTGTCGAGTGTGTAGCTGATGATGGCCGGTCGCACAGACTTCTTCGACGTCGGCTGCGCGTACTGGATAGTCACTTGGCCATCTTCCGAGTGTTCGGCCCAGAGCACATTGTAAAAGGGAATGGAACGAGTGGATATGTTCTCTGATGGGGTAAGCGTGAGTCACACGAGAGATGATGGGCGTGCTCGCTCACTGCCAGCAAGAGAGAGGCCGCAGCAGCTTAGGCGTTTGCTGTCGACGAGGGCTTCATCTGGTGGTCTTGGATGAGCGATTACTCGTAAGAGAGTCGGGACTTTGTTGTCCATCCATACCCAACACTATCAGGGCGTCTGTCCCCAGGGTAAGCGAGGCATTTCTGCCTACAGCGAGCGTGTCCGGAACATGAGCATTGCTCGAGTTGGCCTCGATGGCGCTGGGAGGCTGCGGCGTCGCGCTCACCGGGTCTTGAAAGGGATCCTCGTGGCCCGCAGTCGTCGTCATTGTTATCGCAGGAACGCGCAGAGCATGGGCAGCATTCTGCTTCTGCTGACGGGGAAACGGGGGAAGAACGAGTGGCGCGGTTGTTTGGGGGAGTTAGGGGGAGTAGGCAAGTCAGCGCCCGTCCACATCTGTTCGCAACTCGGAGGGCCTTGGCGGATGTGGCCGGATCATTTCACCTCAAGGTGCTGTCGGTGCTGTCGGTGAGGGAACAAAAAGGAACGATGTCCGTCTGGACCCGCCCCCTGGCCTTGTTTGCCGACACTCGACCAACTGCACAACACGCTCGAAACAGCAGGTTGCAGATTGGTATTGGATTCCTACTCCTCTCACCACGGCTCAAGCCTCGTCTGGCTGTCACTATGCATACTTGATCTACTTTATTCATGTCTTACGTGCGCAAAAGGCTGCGATACTACTACCCTGCATGTCTCCCCATGCAACAACCTACGACGTTGGATCCCACGCCCCCCCCTCCAAAGGCTCAAAGCAACCACGGCGAGACAGACAGGCATGCCATTTCCGTCCTCGTGCACAGGCATACGCTTCTCTAGTGTAGACCCCGGGCCAAACGTCAGTACCGGCATTATCGTCACAATTCAAATCGCATCACCGCCCTGTGCCACTCATGCAACCCCAACCTTGTTCAACCCCTTCAACGAACCCAAGCTCAAAGCCAGCCCCTGTGATCTGCTTCGGATACGCACAAAACCCGTGATTGGGCCATCTTCGCCTTCCTTTTCTATACTCAAGTTGGCGAGAGCATCCTCGCCTGTATCATCGAATTAGCAAAGCTCCTCAAGACAAGAACGTCGTTGTAACCTACCGAAGACGCTTCTGGCGTACAAGTTGGCCGACAAGAATTGACAGTCGCCCTTCATCGATGCCTCAGGTGTCAAGCAGCTCATGTTTGTGCATGCCATGAGCTGCTTCAAGAACTCGCGCAACGTCTTGGTCTTGGAGTTGATATTGACTTTGTTTTCCCATTCGAACTCGGTCCACATCGTGCGGAACTGCGTTTCTGTACATTGCGCCGGCTTGATGTAGTCCATAATGTCCACATGTACGTCATTGAGAATGACGACGTTGGAGTCCACTCCTTTCTCACTATACTTGCATTAGCTGATGATGAATGGACAGCATGTTCGGGTCGACAGCTTACCCCTCGTATATTATGTTCCCGAAGATAACACCAGTATCAGTAGACGAGACTAGAAACGTTAGAAGATATTTCAGAACCCTTTTGCGCGAGTGCCTTACCCTTGATGGTAGCTTGGATATTGATGAAGTCGTGAGGAGCAACGTTTTGCGTCGATGGCCTTTCGACGACCTTCAAATCACCAAGCGTGGCGAACTCGATGGTCAAATTCTGCAGCGTCTCGGTCGTCTGGTTGACCAGAAGCACGTCGAGCACGATATCGAATTGATGGACCTGGACTCATTACTAAAAGGAACAACGCAGAAATCCAAACTGCGTACCTTGACATAAGCCTCGGCATAGACCGAGTCGGAGAATCCAGTAAGCTGTACGACACGGCTCAGTTTAGAGGTCATATCCTCGGTTGCAGTGTCGCCTCCAGTGGCACGTTCCAGATCCTCTCCGACCTCGTCGCTGCCGTCTGCGTCCTTCTTCTTCAATTGACGGATATTGAACGAGTCGTCAACGTTAACTGCAGACTTTGCCTTCTCAGAAGCCTCCTTAGCCGCGCGCTTCTTTTCTTCCGTCTGGACCATGGTACGGAACGACTTCCGAGTGTCTTCCAAAAAGACAGTCTGAAGCTCTTTTCTTTGCGCGAATTCTGACAGCGAACGCACACATGACATGATACGGTCGACGGAATCCTCATCGATAAACGTCTTGACGAATTGGGACTGACCAACGCGAATGATGGAAATCATAATCAGCATTGCTTCTGCGCGGAGGGCGTTTGTGCGTGCTGTGTCCTGGGACAGCTCAGCGTGACGCATAACAAGCTTCGTGAGGGTGCTGGAGAGGACAGTAGCGAGGTAGTAATCACCATCAAGGACGAGCTGGCGTAGTGGAGGCTTCTGCGAGTTCTTGACAGCTTCTAGCTTAGCTTTGGCGGCGGCGGAAGATGTGAGTGCACTCTCGGTCGCGTAGGTACCATCGGCGAGAACCTTTCGTGACCCTGTGGGCGCAGCTGTTGACTTTGCGTGTCCATTGACCTGTTCATCGCTCTCCCTGCCTTCGGACGCCTCATCCAGCAATCTTTGTTCGGATGCAAGGATGGGGATCTCTCCCAAAGAAGAGCGAATACCCTTCCACGCATCGCGTATGTCCTTGGCTTCTAACGAGAATTCACCAATAATCCAAAGTACTCCGCGGTAAACCTTGCCGGCGCGTACTTCGCCAAGAGTAGAGACAAGACGCTCAATAATGGAGGGCCGAAGATCAGGAAAACGTTCCACCACCTCCTTGACGAAGGAGATGACATCAACCGCAGAAGCGTTGCTGCTGACATCCGAGATGAAGTCCATAAGAGATCCGACCACACTAGCGGCGACCTCTGGGAACTTGATGGCAGCGGAGTGTATCGAGGAGATGAGGAGAGATCTGTACTCGGAGTTCTTTTCGTACTGTTCATCGACAGTTTTCATCAGCTCCTTCTTCAAGAGCAAAATGACCTCTTCGACATTCCGGCTTGAGATCATTTCCATGGCAATCTTGAGCGACTTCTTCCGCACGTCCAAATCTGTGCTTGATAGGACTCGTAGAATCTCCATGGTGAGATCGTCCAAAACTCCCTCGTTCTTGCTCCGTAATTGGTCGACGCGCTCCAATACGATCAGCTTCACATTGTTGTCCGGCTCTTTGATTGCGAGGTCAACAAATTTGCCTGCTGCTGCCTTGACGGCAACAGGATTGCTAGTGAGGGTCGTAAGTGCATGTGCGGCTTCGTAGATGACGGTCGACACCTGGGATTCGAGGAGGTCAAAGATGAGTCGGAGATACCGCGCCTTGTTTGAAGGGTTGACGATAGCATCCTTACGGATGAATTCGAGTTCTGCAAGCAACAGAAGCTCCTCGTGGTTTGGAATCGCATCGAAGACGGTGCTGAGGTATTCCAAAGCCTTTTCGTGGCTCACCGAGACGAGGGCAGCAAATGCGTTGCGCTTGCAAGTCGGATCACTCTCGTCCTCGAGGAAGGTGGTCAGGAGGTCGGGCGCATCTGGCATAAGCTCAGGTAGGTGAGTAAAGATGGAGGCGATGGCGAAGGTCGCGTTCTTGCGGACATAGGCATGTCGGTGGGTGAGGCACTGGCGCACCGGTTCTGTCCACGTCAGTCGGGCCCTCTTTGAGGAAGTACGCAGGCTACATACGCAGCAGTGGCTCTACCAGCTCGGCATCTCGCAGCTTTGTCCTGGGTATGTGTCAGCTTGGCCTATTGGTGTTGGTCCTCTCAGGTGTCGTACACGAAGCGTAGTGTGTTCCCTCGCACGTATTCGTTGGGCGCTTGCAAGTCGAAGCGAATCGCATTGCTTGAAAGATGTCAGCCAATTGCTTGTTCTCACACTGGGCGTGAACGAATGGACGCACCAAACCAGAATCCATTCCTGTCGCAGCTTGCCTTGTGCGTCGTGCTTGGGACAAACCTCGAAGAAGAAGTACATGAGCTTCTTGAGCGGTTTCGACTTGCTGGGCATGACGAAGCGGATAATGTGCATCAGCAGACCTGGCTTCGGGTCGCCATTGAGCATGATGGAGAGTATCTTCTTCTGTATGCTTGTCAGACCGCCAACTCAACCAAGGCGGGGAGGCGGGGGGGCAATGTAGTGGGACAGGCGCACCATAGTCTCGATCTTGTGCTCATCGCTACCCTTCTCCAGAGATTGCTTCAGCTCATTCTCAGAAGGCACATCGGCCGCGTTGTCCTGGTGTACCTGCCATTCTCCGTCAGCTCTCTCTGTCGCCCGCTCTTTTTGTGCGACCAGATGTTCATACCAGACTGTAGGCATTCTCCAGAAAGGTCGCCATGGTGCCGGTGGGTTTGACAGTGTAGGACGTCTGCGGGGCGGGTTGCAAGTCGCTATGAAGGCGGTGGGCTCCCGCGGTGGCCGGTCAATCCTCAATTCCCTTGCTGTGCCAGCCCAAGTGGGATGCTACGTGTATGCTTCTAGGCGCTGAGGGGGGATTGCAGACGTCGTGCTTGGAGGTGCGAGTGCAGCCTGCTTAGTGTATCGGTGAATGAGCACGATTGGCCTGGGCGGAGAGGGTGAATTGGGGGGGGGGGGGGGTTGAGGGAGTGTCCGAGTTGCTGCGCTTCACTTGACGCTGTTTACGGTCCAGGTGGCTCCTCGAGAAATGGTCCACCCTCCGCCAAGGAAGGAGCTCGCTAAGCAGGGGTCTCCAGGGCTGGCCGCCGAAGATCGTGAGCACTGAGCCGTTAAGAAGCATTCGCCGGCAGACTGGACAGCGACGACGCGAGGCCATTACTTTAGACATTTTGCAATACCAGAAATAAAGATCAGACCGCCTTATTGCTCTAAGCTTCTACCTATCGTCACAGAGCCCACCATGAGTGGCAACGAGCCGTTCTACTTACGATACTAGTAAGAGTGTCCTATCCCATGTTCTGCCTCCCCAACACGTGCAGCGCAATAACAAGATGCCAGCTCTGGTCACCAAGGCCGCTTCGGCCACGAATTTCTGGGTAAGCCGACGACATGCTCGCTGTCGAGCTGGCTGCAACACTGACACCCTGTTGTAGAGTTTGACTTTCGCGTTCTTGGAGACGGTCGCAGCGCGTCTGCACGTTATGCCAACAACTCAAACTATCGCAATGACTCCCTGATCCGCAAAGAGAGTAAGTGAGCGTCCACAGAAGGGGGACTGGTTCATTGTTTTGGTCGCTGATTGAGCCAGTGTGCGTCAGCGACACGCTGGTCGCTGAGATCAAGCGCATCGTGAAAGAAAGCGACATTTTGAAGTAAGCGGCGTGGGTGGGCAGGCTCTGACTGACCGTCTTGCTAATCTACCCTGCAGGGAAGACGACACAAAATGGCCACAGAAGAACAAGGATGGCCGTCAAGAGCTGGAGATCCGATTAGGCAGCGAGCACATCTCATTCGAGGTAAGATGGAACGAGGAAGTTGATGCAGTGTGGACGTGTGCTCATCCGTGTAGACTGCCAAAATCGGCTCGCTGCAGGATGTGCAAGACTCGTCTGATCCCGAGGGGTTGCGTGTGTTCTACTACCTCGTTCAAGATTTGAAGGCTCTGGTGTTTTCGTTGATCTCTCTGCATTTCAAGGTACGTAAATGGCATGCATACGGTAAACGTGGCCACTGTCTTGCTGACCTTCCTCTAGATCAAGCCCATCTAAGCTTTGTGCGAAACCGAAGGACAAAGTATCGGGGTAGTGGCGGACAGCATCTCCGTGGGAAAATCAAGCCTTGGGAACCTGCAGCTAGCTATTGGGCTGGGGTCCGGCGCATGGAGTCAGGTAGACGAGATGGTGCCAATATATCAGGGGAGGTGATTTTCATGAGGGTTTGGTTGTCTTGTGTCCAGTGTATGTATGTATGGCACACTAAAACGTCGATTGGGCGTGATGATCACGCGGGTGTGGAATGAAGAAGAGGGCGAATCTAGCGTAGGTAGGATAGGTACCGGTACCTAGTACTTGCTGTACAGCCATCTATTCTCTACCGGTATATGATGCGATGAGAACGAGATTGCGGATGATGCAGTGTGCTGTCCGTGCTATACCGGGACCACAGACTACTCTCACTCGCACTTCCATGTATGAATATGGTATAGTGGTGGCAGCTTAACAGTCAAGGAATAGGGAGCCGTAGTAGTACAGTGCAGTATCTACTAGGCGATGCCTACTAAGCAGCAGAGCACAGCTCGTAACCGGTACAACCCCCATGTTTCCCAATGTCAAGCCACGTGAGGCTAGCGTTGTCCTCCCCGCAACCACTGCATCCGGCCCACTCATTGACATTCGATTGCCCAGGGCCCGCTTCTCCGAATCCAGCCAGCCTGCCAGCCAGCCTGCCAGCCAGCATGCAAAGACTGACAGACTGACTGACTGACTGACTGACTGACTGACTGACTGACTGACTGACTGCTACTACCTTCCCCCAACCCATTGCCACGCCTTTGCAAATCTCTAATTCTTGTATTGTGTAATCATCCTTCCGTCCTTCCTTCTATTCTTCCTATCCTTCCATGTGCAAGCAATTCCTCCTTCGCCCGTGATTTTCCCCCCCTCCTCGCCTCTCCCACCCTCGACCAGACGATGCCGACGCCCAATGACGCGATCGGCTCGCACGTGGTGGAGCACGAGAGCATCGATGTCGCCAACCGCCCAACCTGCCCGCCAGAAGAGGTGCGAAGCATCAGCACCATCCCCACCCGCGACTTGAATGCCGCATCGCGCATTCATTATCCATCCAGTCATGGCAACAACGGATCTGCCTTGCCTGTGCCCATGCAGCAACCCACCCCGCCGCCACAAGACTCCCCAGCGGACCTCGTTCAGACAAGCCCAGATCGGCACAGCAAACCATCGAGTAGTGACATCGATGCCCCGAACCGAGACATACCAACGCCCATGACCGTCACCGACGATGGGGCGGAAGAGCAGCGCACCTCTCACGCTTCACCGCTTTCTGCGACGGCGCCGGTCTCGCTAATCACCAGCCATCTGTCGTCACCATTCCCGGCGCACAGGGTGTGTACTACCAGCCTACCTGCCATGCGATCCGTAATCGAGGACGGGGCCTTGCTGACCATGGCCGCAGTTTCTACCAAACACCTCGTCCTCGCTCCTCCGCCCGGGCAGTCGCTTCATGGGCAGCCAAACCTCGGACCGCCAAAAGTACGAAGTCGAGGTGGAGATCAAGCATGTGGACATGCGCGAGTCTTTCATGTGCGGCTATCTGCGCATCAAAGGTGCGTCTACCCGCTTGTATCGCTACATGCATCCAGGCATACTAATGCGCTCGCAGGGCTGACCGAAGACCACCCAAGCCTCACGACGTACTTTGAGAGCGAAATCATTGGCAGCAAATACACATTTATAACCCAACATCCCGAGTGGGGGTCCAACGACAAGGTCGATCGACAACACTGGGCCCGCTTCCCGGCCTACAAGCCATTATCGAAATACTCGTCACGACCTGAAGTCGTGTCCAAGGACTGGATGCACAAGGAACATCTCTTCATGCGATGGAAGGAGTATTTCCTCGTACCAGACCACAGAGTACGCACCATCAACGGGGCTAGTTTCGAGGGCTTCTACTACATCTGCTTCAACCAGGTCTTGGGTCGCATCGATGGTATATACTTCCATGCGAAGAGCGAAAAGTACGCGTGCTACTACTGTACACCGGGAGTACAACACACTAACGACTTGTCAGATATCAGAAATTGGATCTGGAACACGTGCCTGATTTTGGCTGTCAGCCGGCCATTGAATTCCGATGAAATTACGAGTGAACGACTGGCATGTCGATGGAGTAGCATTGCGGCGCATCAGGGCGTTGAGAGAAGCATTCTCATATCCTTATTGGAACAATTCTTACACAGGCCGCTATACACAATGCCAAGGCCGTATGAGTTTTGTGTCGACGTTTGTAGATATCGTGACTCGAGGAGCAATCAAAGTTCGCTGCCTCCTACATGGCTCCTGAGACCTGTGAAGCTGCATTGTCCAACCTACTTCTACTTCAGTACTGGTACAATCGTGCGTGGCCGTTGGCCCTCCAAGGGCTGCAGCTCACTAGCGGAAAAGCTTGACTCCACCACCCGCAGAACACCTGGGCAGCCTTGCTGTATTCGACCAATCCACTCTTACCCTGCTCCCACTACTCCCCGCCAAACTTCCTCTGCTTCTTCCTTGCTCCCCCTGTTGAAGCGGACGATACTGAATACTATCGCAATGCCAGGAGAACCAGCCAAGCGCACAAAGCGCGAAGAGTACAAGAAGAAAATACAAAACGACGAAGAGAATGCTGCATTACCACAGAAGCGATTCTACCGGCAGCGTGCCCATGCCAATCCATTCTCGGATCATTTCCTTGCCTAGTGAGAACTGTCGCATAGGTAGTCATCTTGTGCTGGAGGCTGACAAGACACAGTCCCAAGAGTCCAGAGGACATGGATTGGTCCGGTCTGTACCCTGCATACACTGTAGGGAAAGAGATGGCAAAGACGCCGGATGGGGAGGAGCAGAGGAAGGTACATGCGATTACCAAGAAGGTCGAGATTGCAGATATTGGCTGTGGATTCGGAGGTCTTCTTTTCGCCCTTGCGCCCAAGCTGCCTGACACGTTGATATTGGGTAAGATGGCCAGCATCATCACCATCATCACCATCATCAACGACTCCTCCATGCTCAAAAACCACACACCAATCTCAGCATCTATACCTGTAAACTGACACACCCTTAGGTCTAGAGATCCGCACTTCGGTCACGGAATATGTGCAGGACAAAGTGCGCGCGCTACGCGTGCAAAACGCCTCGACCAATGGCTACCAAAACGTAGCCTGCATCCGCGCCAACACAATGAAATTCCTTCCCAACTTCTTCGCCAAGCATCAACTCTCCAAAATCTTCCTCTGCTTCCCAGATCCACACTTCAAACAGCGCAAACACAAGGCCCGCATTGTATCCTATACGCTCAACTCCGAGTATGCCTATGTGCTAAGGCCAGGTGGGGTCGTGTATACGATTACCGATGTGCAGGACTTGCATGCGTGGATGAAGGAGCATTTTGAAAAACATCCGAGTTTTGAGCGGGTGGAGAGGATTTTTGAGGAGGGGGAAGGGGAGAGTGGGGAGGTTATGGATGAGTGTGTTAGGGCGATGAGGGTGGAGACTGAGGAGGGAAAGAAGGTGGAGAGGAATAAGGGTATGAAGTTTGTTGCGTGCTTTAGGAGGGTGGAGGATCCAGCGTGGCCTTGATGAGGATTCCGTGGAGGCGAATGGACTCCGGATGATGGTGATGAGTAGCAAAAGGAAGATCCTCGAATATCTCGTGGATCTAACACAGGGTGCGAGATAACAAAATGCGTTTTGACGTCCAAGCGGTACCATACCTGCTTCAGGCATTTTCGTGGACCCCAGGTCTTCTTATTTCAAGCAAGCACTGGGCTGACTTTGCAGTAGATGCGACATCGCCAATTCAATGCCATGCAACTAGAACAACACCACCGTCTATATGCGTTTAATCTGTCCATCTTTGTCAATTCGTTCACTGTTCTCATTCGTACCAAACGCACTATCCGGCACTCATCACCCGCCAGATCCACCATCCCTCATATCTACAGCTTGGGAAACCTGACCCTGAGGAATTGATTCGGCCACGCAACATCCACACCCAGTTGCCACGCCACCTTGAGCACCCACTCTGGCTCGCGCATAAACTGCCGTCCAACCAATACCACATCAGCGAGTGGCTGCTTGCCATCCTTCCCCTCTGTAACGGCAACGGCCGCTTTGGCTTCCTCCGTGAACTCCTCGAGACCGGTTTGGGAGACTGTCCTCACGCCCCCCTCTTCCACAATGTTTCGTGCCTGCTCGGCCTCGGTGATGAGGCCAACGGCGCCAATAAAAAGGCTGAGATTTGACTTTTGGAGCTCGCTGCGAATCCGCGCCGCGATGCTAGTTTGATAGTCCTTTGTGTTGAACATGCTGATTTGCTGCGCGGGATGATTCCCCCCACTGCTCACATCCAAGAGATCGACGCCGAGCGCTGGGAGGAGTTTCGCAAGCCGGATCGAGTCTTGCACTGTCCAGCTTCCGTACTGCTTGCCAGGCGCAGTTTCCTCCATCCACTCTGTTGCGCTGATGCGCAGGTACAATGGCAGACCCTGCGGTATCACCTCGCGGACCGCACGTATAATCTCCAGCAGCAGGCGCGTGCGATTTTCAAATGAACCCCCATAGCCATCGCTGCGACGATTGGTAATCGGCGACAGAAATTGATGAATCAAATAGCCATGCGCCGCATGAATCTCAATCACATCCACGCCTGCCTTGACCGCTCGCTCTGCACTCCTCGCCCAATCCCGCACCAACTCTTCAATCTCGAGCGTGCTCAGCGCCCTCGGCGCCCAATACCCACTTCCTTCTTTCCCGCCCACCTGGCCATCCCAAGCCCACTCCTCGCCTCCCATCGGTCCCACCACATCCCCCGGCCACCCCCCGACATCCACATCCGCCCTCACACTCACCTTTCTCTTCCCGCCCTGCGTCCTCTGCTGCCCGGCCACCCACGGCGCACACGTACTCGCCTTGCGCCCCGCATGCGCAAGCTGCACGCCACACAGCGCGCCCTGGCTCCTGATGAAGTCGCTCACGCGGCGCAACGCCGGAATCTGCGCATCGCTCCAGAGACCCGGGCAGTTTGGCGAGATGCGTCCGTTGGCCTGGACGCCCGTGGCCTCGATGAAAACGAGGGCGGCGCCCTTGAGCGCGTAGTGGCCGAGCGTGGCGATGTGGTAGTTTGTGAGGGCGCCGGTGGTGGGGCCCGTTGCTGCACTGCTGAATTGGCACATGGGCGCTACGAGGATGCGGTTGCGGAGCGTGGTGTTGCGGATGCGGAGGGGTGTGAAGAGCGTTGGCGTGGTGGGGGTGAGGGCTGAGGGGGTTCCGGGGCTGGACAGGTGGAGGGGCGTGAAGTAGGGTATGTTTGGGGAGCCGCGGTTGAGGTTTTGAGGGGCCATGTTTGGGATGGGATGAGAGGAGAGAGTGTGTGTGTTTCCTTGTTTGGTTTATTCCGTGTAGGGGGAAAGAGACAGGTGGTGTTTTTCTCGGGGCGTTTGAGGCGCACCAACGTATGTATGTCTATTATGTGGTAAAGACAGCTGAACCTCGTTCTCCCAGGGCGCAATTGGAATCTTCAGGTCTTCTTTACGCGCCTGTAAAAGAAGGAACGTAAGGTATATACACGCCCATCATTGCCAGTAGGCCATTCGGTTGGTGTGTCAGGTCCAGATGTCCTTGGTGTCATGGCGTCTTCTTTTTACCGAGGCAACGGCTGCGAGATGTGGAATACTTTCCTAACCGGGTGGTTTCAAACCGCACTAGTGAACTCGAGTGTTCTTTCAAAGAGGAGTCTTGAAGTGAGACTGTTGATTGGGACTTAGGCTGGAGGTCGTTGCAGTTGTTCGAGGACATGCAGTCTGAAGCATGATAGCTTAGCGCTCTTTTCGGTAGGCTTAGTCACTTATTCAGAGGCATGGATATCTCTGTTGGGGCTTCCCTAGCTTGTGCAAGCTCGTACTGTATTAACTATTCTCATCTGCTTTCTTATCCTTGTTATATTACCGGACATGAAAGACGAATGCATAGAATATTTAGCTTTCGCCCCTGAAAAGGCGCAAAGCTAGTAGCTACCGGTATGCCATCTCTTTGCCACATATTAATCGCAATTCCTAGACGTTGTGGTAGTCCTTTGGTAACTCGTATTTTCAACGTGAGATGTGATTTATAATGATCCAACTCTGAAAATAGGATACCTGTCCAAAGATGTTTGAAGGTGGCTTGACGAGGCAAAGTGCAACGTGGTACCCACCCTTGTGACAAGTGCATTGCTGTCACTTCATAGCATCTTTGCCTAGCAAAGTCAATCGCCTTTGGTATAAGGGCATATAACAATATACACAGGTATCGCTACGGATGTAGCTTCCCTCGTGAAACAATCACGCCCAAGGGCAGAAAGGCATTGAGCATCAAGACAAAGATGCTTCAGTCTCCATAGACGGTATAAGTTTCGAGTATGCATTCAAGGTTGACAGCCTGTCTTCCCAAGGAGTACAAACAGAACAAGCCTGTAATTTGCGCGAATCAGAACGAATGGCCTCGCATGGATGCGCTCCTGGTGGTCTGGAGTAACTAGTAAGTGACGTCACCTACTCATAACTACATCGACCATAAACCATCCAGTGGCGGTACACTGAACACCAGATTCACACACGCACAAGTGCTATCAAACATTCAAGGCCCCAAACTTGCATCTTGCACGACATCAGATCATTTAATATCCTGCCCATTCCCGATATGTCTGCCCCCAACCAGAACCAACCTGGCCTCGTAGCCAGCCACGCGCAATACGTCAAAGGCGCTGCAGAAGTATGTTCTCTTTCCCTAAGCCACTTCATTATCCTGCCTTTCTCTCCCAGAGATGTCTCTTCGCATTACCAGACCCACGTCCGTGTACACTAGCTCACACACACACAAAACACAGGAAACAATCGGCAACGTCACCGGCAGCGAAGCCTGGAAGTCCTCTGGGGCTCAAGACAAAGAGCATGCGATTGGCGATATGAAGGCTGCATCAGCGAATAGAGATCCGTCAACGCAGGGAATGGGGGGTCTGGAGGAGAAGGCAGGGAATTTGGTGGGGTGTGAGGGGATGCAGAAGGAAGGGGCTGAGAGTAAGAAAGAGTAGATACCGATGGTAGCTGGGCTTGGCTATATATGAAGTCACAAAAAACAGCCGTGGGATTTGAAATGTTAATTTTGAACTGCTTTCAGAGGATATAAGATGTGCCGTGCTGGTGGAATGTGCCCATAGTATATCTACTGGTATGGTACCGTATCCTTGCCATTGTTTGTGAAGTCAGTCAGGGAAGCAGACATTGACAACCGATTACAAATTGGCAATGGTGTGTGTTGAAACCCAGTAAGGAGAGGCACTTATGCATTCAACGGTCCCACCAGATTCCTACCACGTAAGGTGATGTTCATGGTCTGGGGTAGTAGTGACTACAAACAGTATGAAGGAGATCTGGCTGGCTGGACCCTTTTCTTGGCACTTTGACCAGCTCCTTCAGGCTTGAGCTCCCAAAGCTCATGAAGTACCCGCACACACACCGCAGCAGCACATCCAAGAGATATAAACCCTTCCGCCTGTCCATTGCTTACACCAAACAAGACATGGCACCACCCACTCGTGCACGACCACTCAGCAAATCCGCCTTCGCGCCGTACTTCTCCAAGCTCAAGACATCTGTGTACCAAGACAGTCCACGCCCTGCCGCAGTCTCATCACATCACTATATTCGCAGTATATCGTGGAACGCATCGGGCACTTTTATCGCAACCGGCTCGGCAGATAAGACATTGCGCATATGGAATCCGGAAAAGACAAATGTCAAAAACTCGACGGAGCTGCGCGTACCCGGCGCGACTGCTTTGACTGCACTGGAACGCGTCGCATTCCACCCAATTAATGAGAATGAGCTTGCGAGTTGTAGTACGGATGGCATGGTCAGGTTTTGGGATATTCGGTCCAAGGCGAGCGTGGGGGAGGTGAAGGTAGGGGAGCAGCCGTTTACTTTGGCGTGGACGCCGGATGGGACTGAGATCCTTGCGGGAAGAAAGGTACGGCGAGATTGATACGAAGCTGGGACAGGAGACTGACTGCGCAGGATAATGTCCTGGTGACCATCGACCGTACAGCGTTGAGTGTTGTAGCTGAACACCGCCAGCCGCTACAGACCAACCAGTGCGTCTTCGACTGGTCAGGCAATCGCCTCTACATGACGGGCGGCGATGGCTCGGTCAAAATTCTGCGCTACCCATCCTTTGAGAATACCCTCACCTTGAATGCACATACCTCTGCATGCTATGCAGTTTCCATGTCACCAAGTGGCGAATACCTCGCAGCGGGCGGAGGTGATGCGCTGGTCTCGCTCTGGGATACGCAAGAATGGATATGCGTACGAACGCTGGAGCTCACAGGTGGACTCGTCAAGACCGTCGACTTCTCCTTTGACGGAAGCTACATTACAGCAGGCTCAGACGACAAAGAGGACAAGAAGATTCGCATTGCCCACGTCGAGACGGGAGAAATTGTGCACACCATTGATGTGCCGACACCTGCGGCACATGTCGCATGGCATCCGTGTCGCTACATATTGGCGCATTCGGCAGAAAATCAAGGACTCAAGATTGTGGGAGCTAACAGCTGAGCGGCTGTGAATACTGAGAGGATAGAAAAAGAGCTGGCATGGCATGGCTGCGTAGACGGAGTTCAACTGTACACTAGAAGCGGATTGCTAGTGTGCCTCCCGTGGCGCCCTTCCCGTCTGTGACGCAACAACGTCGTCTTGTCGGATTATAGACGTACCGAAGTCAACGCCTCTTTGACAAAAGGACGCCTCTTAGTCTCACAAGACTTGGAAACTCTTTACCCCCAGAAGCGTTTACAATGGATGTCGCCGCGCCTATAAACCCAACGGATCTCTTCTCTGCCAAAGGGTTGGTGGTAGTAATCACTGGAGGTGGTAGTGGTATGTTGCCTCAGCTCAAAGCTACCCCACCGTGCCCCGCCATCATCTCGTGAAGCATGAGTGTATAGTTGTATGACCTGAACTCACACGACCAGGCCTTGGACTTGCCATTGCATCATCACTCTACCAAAATGGCGCCTCGAAAGTCTACATTCTCGGCCGCAGACTCAACGTCCTGCAAGACGCCGTCAAAACCCTTGAATCCTCGCCTTCAGCTCCCAACCCCCCCTCTGGCATCCTGACAGCCATTGCCTGCGATGTGACCGATTTAGACTCTGTCAAAGCTGCCGCAGCCCAGGTTGAGCAAGAAATCGGCCATGTCGACGTCCTCATCAACAATGCGGGCGTCATCGGCCCCAAGAACGCAACAGCTCTCCACACGGCAACCTCCATCACCCAGCTCCGCGACGCCATGGTCTCCGACTGGCCCGAATGGACGACAACCATGCAAATCAATACCCAAGCCGTCATCGGCGTATCCGCCCTCTTCCTCCCCCTCCTCGAAGCCGCAAACACGCGCCGCGGCTGGGCCCCCGGCAAAGTCTCGGGCACCGCCAATCCACGGGCCCGCGACCCCTCGAAACTCGAAGCCGTGGGCGCCGCTGCCGACGACGACCGTCTAGCGCACATCATCACCGTCGCAAGCGTGGCTTCGCACATGCGCTGGGTATCTGCGGGGCTCGCGTACAATGCGAGTAAGAGCGCGGCCGCGCACCTGGGCAAGATGATGGCCACGCTGCTGTCCGAGTGGGGTGTCAGGAGTAACATTGTCTGTCCGGGCCCGTACCCGAGTGAGATGACGCGGGGCATCGATGGGCGGTACGGGACGAATCAGATCCCGCAAGGGCGCATGGGCGGGCTGAATGATATCGGCGCGTTGACGCTGTTCTTGGTGGGCAAAGGTGGCGCATATGTCAATGGGACGGTGCAGTTGACGGATGGGGGACGCATGGCGGTTTTCCCGGCTGCCTATTGAGGATGGTGATGTTTTACACAATGCAAGTAGTTGTTGGGGGCTGGATGGTGTGGATACTTGGGTTTTATAGACTAGAATCATGTCGCTCACACAGCCCTTGGTTCTGCAAATCCAATGTCCAGGACAGAGTGGTGTGCATGCCATGATAGTATAAATGACAAATTTCCTGACCCCGTCAAATCCTTAATCGAAGCCCTCTGTGAAAAAAGAAGATAGGCCTGAGCCCTCGATTTAACAATGTCCGTCTCAACCTGCACATTCACCTCACATGAACTGTCGAGATGGGTGGTGGTAGGAGTAGGAGTAGGAGTAGGAGTAGGAATAGAGAATAGAAATATCTAGAGTTTTCCATTTTCATTCCCATTCCATTCTTCTCTAGACGTGTAAAGTTGTATATACAAGGTTAATGTCGTGACAAGGACAGGTTATCAAGAACATTGGGACAGGAAGACAGGATATTGAACATGAAGATTTCTGTTTCTATTCTTCTACTTCATACTATCATACCCGTGATTCATAATCTATTATTTCCACTTGCTTTTTGTGCATGGCGAGTAACATTGTTCGTTGATGCATGCAGTCGAAATATACGCTCTCCTCCTGTGCTCGTCCCTTTTCCAACGCCAGATGAAAATGCATAAGCAGCATCTCTCTCGACTTTTTTCTCATCTGGACTACCCATCCATCCCTATTGCCATCCCCAGAAACACTCCAGACATACACACACTCTACGCTCCACGCCCGATCCCCACCCCTACTCACAACCCATCGCCGCCCGCCTTCTCTTCTCTAACCCATGACCCCTGCGATAGCTATACTAAAACTTCGCCAAAACGCCCTTCACATTCCCCTCCAACACAACATTCCCCTTGACGCTCAACTCGCCAATGCCAGTGTGCACCCCACTACCATCGCGAAGCCAGCGCTGCAACAACGCATTACTCTCAAACGGCTTGATCTGCTGATTTGCCGTACCAACCGTAATATGCGCCACATCATTCGATGATGTGAAGACCAATTCCTCCGTCGTTGGTGTCGCCGATGCATCGTTGCCTTGGGCTTCGGTCTGCAGCGTCTTTGACCCGTGGAGCCGGACGACAAAACACATGATGCGGTCGTCCCAGACTACGCGTTCGAGCTGGACATCGCATTTTCCCAGCTCGGGCTCCGAAGACCCGGTTTCAGCGGTTGAGGCTTGTGCAATAGCGTGCAGTTTGGAAAGTTTGTCCCAGTAGGCTTGGTGCTGGGCGGCATTTGCGCGGTGGATGAGCGTGACGTGGAATTCAGTCTGGATTCGACGGCTTTGCTTCAAATGATTGTACATTTTGGCAGTTGCGGCATCCTTGTCTGCGAAGAGGGCATCAAGGATGGAATTGATACGTGTGGTATTGAGGCCAACAGAAAAGTACTCCATACGAGGTGCCTTTTTTGACTTCACTTCTTGCTGTTTACCTCCAGCGTTGCCATTTTGGCCGTTGTTTCGCTGCAAATTTTGTTTGGCTTGCCTGTCGTTTGTATTCGCGCCTTTGCCGTTATTGAAGTTCTTGGAAAGATCCATCTTGAAGTCTGGTCTGTAGTCGTTCATTGCCCACTCAATGGCCCCGTCCATCTCAGTGTTTGTCGGCATATTGATGCCTTCAAACAGCGCGGGATACTTCTCAAACATTTGACCGATGATTGTTTCTAGATTATCACGAGAATCGAGTGTGGGGTCAAGATTGATGACGAGGTCGAACATGTCGTCAGGAGCTTCAGAAGGATCAACGGGTTGGAAGCGGTGCATGAAGCCCTCCATGATTTCAATGATCTCGTTCGGGTTCTTCGAGCCTGCTTGGATGGTTTGATGATTGTCACCACGATCAAGCACGCGTTTTCGGGTAGCATCGCGGATCCTGTTGTAGTTTGATCGGTCGTGAACGTAGTGAAGTGCAACGTAACGGGCATCAGGAACGGTACGTGAGATGTCAGCCATGATCTGATCTCGCTCGCGCTTTTGATGGTTGTTGCGGTCCGCAATGACCACTGGGTTTGTGACGAGTAACGAAGAGATTGTGTCGGCGAAGATCTGACCACGTCCCTTCTTTGCCTTGACATTGTCGTTCTGGTAGTGGCCCCATCCAAACAGCTTCACCAACGCAAGTGCCAGTGTCGTCTTTCCACAACCAATGGTTGCAACAGGCACAAGGACGACGTTATTGCGTACCTTGTTACTCTCGACGGGCCCCTTCTCCAATTCCTGACGAATGATGTCGGCACCCGTTGTGCCACGAGATGCCAAGAACTCTTCCCGTAGCTTTATGATGCCATGGTTCATGTTGTACTCCTTTGCAAGCCCGGGGTTTTGGGCAAACTTCTGTCTGGCAAAGAGGAGGTAATCCTTTGTGATGGCTTCGTGCTTCCTATATCGAGGAGGCTTCCCCGCGATCAGGGCCTTGGTGCACTCGCGCCACTGGCGGTACATGAGATATGGCTCCTCGAACTTGTACTTGAAGAACCAATCGACAAACGGGCCATCCTCGTGGTCCCGTGCCTGGCAACGGATAACGAACCCCTCTGTGTCGCGCCCATTGTAGTTGCCCGTCTCTGCTACCTTGTCGAGGAAGGTCTTGACCTTTCCTATGTCGTTCTCCATGACGTAGAGGACCTTCTTCATGCCCCACTCGTCTGCAAACTTGTCGACGAGGTGTCCAGGATATGTGGCGAACTCTGGAAGATTGAGATTGATGCCGTGAACATAGAGGCCGGCCTGGTCGGGGGTATATGCCAACACGTGTTCTTCGAACTCATCGTCGCACAGCTCTGCAACCAGCGTCGCGTTCATGGATCGCAGGGTGCGGGCTAAATCCTCCTTGGTCCTGCCCACTGTCTTGAGGTGCCGCTCTACCCACTTCTCGCCCGCACAAGCATGGCTGAGCGCGACATCGCCACGGGCGCCAGTCGAGTGTTTACTGCAGACCAGCAATGTGCCGTCGTCAAGGCCCGCAATGAAGATGATGCATCCGTTCTCCTTGACGCTCAACTCGTACGGCCCCCTCGTGTTGCGCTCAACATTCTTCCACTCCGTCTTCTTGACCTCGCCATGATTGAAGAACTTGTCGTAACCACGGACAGCAATCTCCTTGTTGCCATCCAGGGTTGTGTATGTGAAGAGGCCTCGGGCGTACGTGGGCAGATTTGCCTTCTTGTAGTCCCACTCATTAATCTTCCATGAGTCGACTGTGCGACCATTGGGCAGCTCAAACGTGTGCTTCTTGACCGAATAGCTGCCTTGCGGGGTCTTGCCCTTGTGCGCCTCCAACGAGTAGACGAGTTCTTTAATCACTTCGGGGTCCTGGGGCGCGTACGGCGCCGTGTCGCGGTAGGCCATGACGGCGGCGCAGGAGAAGGAGAGTCGGAAGGTGGTAGGCGGGAATACAGCTATGCGCGAGATTGGGGTTTGAGATGTGGTGTGAAGGCGTGGCTGTCGCAACAGTAAATTGGAGCACAACTTGGAGGCCGTTGCTGTTGATGCTCTGCGTATATGCAAGAGCGGGGAGAAGTAGTTGATAAACACGGGCATTCAGGCAGCAGCAACTAACTGCGCAAACAAGCCCAGGTGGAGAAGAAGAAGAAGAAGAAGAAGAAGAAGAAGAAGAGGGGAGGGAGTTCCAGTCCGCACAGAAGAAGTTGAGGAGAAAAACAGAAAAAAGGGCGCAGTTGTGTTTCTTGATGTCACCTCCGAGTCGTCACTGCTTTTTCCAGGCTGGCTCCTTCCCCCCACCCTGGCAAGTCGGGGCAAGAGCAAGGTTGACGTCCGCGGGGTTCGTTCTTTCCTTCCTGCGTTAGTGCGGGCTACGGCTATCTACGGGCAAACATCATCCTCCAGAACTCACCATCAACACTTTCCATCGAAAACAGGACATTTTACATGTACTATCCACCATTCATATTCAACACTTGCATAGACGTCCTTGGGAAAGACGATAGGTTTTGGTATCCAATTTGCAGCATATCTGTGGTGCTAACGATTGATTCTACTCAAAGTCAAAATTCAACCATCAGTCATTGGCACCAAGTTGGTCATGTGAGTTGCTAGTGTTTTTGGGTTAGACTTGTTGCTAGTGTTTTGTTTGCGGCTAGTGTGGGGGCTGGTGGATTCAGCCCGAGTGGAAAGGTCACCCCATCAAATCTTCAGCTTCTTCACGCCCTCGGCCAGAGCATCGGCCACCTCATCCTTGTGTGTCGAAAAGTTGTCAACCAGATTGTCCCTAGAGATTCATGTCAGCCATTTAATTCTGCGCTTTTGCTGCACCTCTCGGCGTCAATCAATCACCCCTCTACTTACCACATCTTGGGGTCATGCTCGTGCTTCTTCTTGCTGTTCCACGCCCAATCGGTAATGGTAAACATCCTTGAACTCTCCATCATAAATGCAATGGCGCCCTTGGAGATTTGCATCTCTGGTGGTGGCTGTGCACTGGCTGCCTTGAACTAAGATGGTCGTCAGAACATGACTCTGGCCCACAAACACTAAGCAAAACATACCTCTTCGTAGGCAACACCGTGTGGTACAAAGCCACATTCGAAGCTTATACCACCAGGCTGGAACTCGTCTGAGCGGCCTGCATACTCGCCGTAAATGAGACCCATGAGCTCGGAAGCGCCATTCCGGTGGTAGTAGGGAGGACGGTAGGCTGTCGCACGATTAGTATTTTCCCTTCAATCTCCACAACAAGAACAACCAAAAAAAAAGGACTTACTGTGAGAAGCAACATCCCATCTCGGGCTGAAAATCAAAAAGTCCGCCAGTGGCGCCGCTGGGTCGCGCGAAGGCGCCGTCATAACGCAGAAGATGGACGGGTCGATATGATCGACAGAAATCGATCCCACGTTCACAAACTTGGTCAAGTCGTACTTGTATGGCACGTAATTACCATGCCACGCTACAACGTCAAACGGCGAGTGCTCTTGCTTGCTCTTGAAGAACTTGCCACCAAGCTTGTACACAATCTCCCATGGCTCATGCTCAATCTCGTACTTTGCAACAGGATGCAAGAAGTCTCGAGCGTTGGCTAAGCCGTTAGCCCCAAGTGGTCCCAACTCGGGAAGCTGGAAGTTGGAGCCCCAGATTTCTGTCAGACGTGAGTACATACTCATGTCTTCGACTCATAGTCTGAACTGACCTAGGATGTAGCCTCTGGTGGGTCCTTCAACCTTGACCCTGAATCGCTGTCCTCTCTGGATTACGCAAATCTCTCCTGGCTGGACATAGAGGGGTCCAAACTCAGTCAGTATGTCCAAGGCTCCCTGTTGGGGTACGATAAGAAAGTCGCCGTCCGAGTTTACAGCAGCTCTGCGGTTCATGCTCGCATTGGCTAGATAGGTGTGCACTGCAAGACCTTCACGTAACGTGGGGTCGCCTGACCCTGCAACAGTCTTGAGCCCAGAGATGAAGTCAACATTGCCATCTTTGGGGATGTCGAATGGAAGCCAAGCAAGCTGTGTAGGTGAAAGATGCACGCGTTTGTTGAGTGGGAGGAAGTTCGACTCTGTGTCTTCATTGTCTGGAAGATCGGTCTATAGAGGTTTGTCAGCGCATGACCATTTCATCTGTTTACATGGCATGAGGCACAAGACATGGTCCAAGCCAAATGACAGCTGGGTGCAGGTACGTGGGATGGAGCGTCAAGATATTGGGGTCGCAGATGATCACACTTACAAATCCTTGGTGTGCAACAGCAGGTCTTGCCCGGTAGAGCCATGCCTGGGGTTGACGTCAGAATGAATATATTCATCTCGGTTCATTTTTCTCCAACCTTCTTGTTTTGGTGCCTGGGCGCAACAAAGGCAGACGCAGTCATCTGCTCCGCGTAGAGTCCCCATCTCACACATCGAGGATTGTTTTGTCCTTTTGGGATAGTACCTAGCACGTGTCAGTCAGCGCTCATGTGCAGGCGGGGAGATGGGAAATAATCTCACCTGGTACTGCCTCTGATTCGAAGCTGTTTCCAAACCCAGATTGATACTGCGAGTGAGGAGAAGCGTCAGCAGGAGTGGTTGCAGCAAGAATCAGCTCACCTCGTATGGATCATTCTTCCTTGTGCCAAAGGATGGAATAGAGCCATCTTTCTGTGTTTCGGCCCAATGGAAGATGTTCTGGTATTCCTTGGGGTCGTCGAGTTGAGTGGGCATCTTGGCTCGTGCTACTGTGCTTGTTCACCGAGGTTTGACGTTGGAATCGCGCTGATAGTTTGATCCACAGACTTGCAGTGATGCTGGGTAAAATTAGAAGACAGGATTGACTGCACTGGGGGAAACAGCGCAACGAGGACATGCTCGAATTGAAGAGCATCCTCTCCAACACGACCCCGCAGGCCAACCCCACACGCACGTACCATCATTTCCTCTTCCACCATGGCCGTTCTACATGTTCAACGGTCCACTACTTGGAGTCAAGGCTGAAATTGTCCAATCGATTATGAGACCGATCGGAGAACTCGGCGTTATGCGTGCGGTCAGGGTTTGACGGTGCCATGAGCTGGTGAGCATGCAACTGCCGACGGGGTTTGGAGAGGGGTAGGTTTCCAGAGCGGACCCCCAGCGTTCCCGATTCGCTAGCAGTGTCTATGGCGGGAAAAGTGACGATGGTTATGGATGGACATGGAGTGGCTTTATAAGTTGATGGTCAGCTTTTTGTGATTCGATTCTGACGTCCTGTCGTCGAGGGTAGATGAAGTGGAGGTTGGAGATGTCTGATGTTGTTTCACTCTTGGCCCGAATCGCCGCGGCTCGAGAAGCAGCAATGGGGGGGGGGGGGGGGGGGAACCCCCGGTTTCCAAAAAGAAATTCTCCAAACGGGCCAACCAAGGGGGGGGGGGGGCCAAATTTGGGGGACCCCCGGGTTGCCCTTTTGGGGGTTTTTCCCGGGCCGGGAGGGAAAAAACCGGGTTTTCCCCTTTTTCCCCGGGGGGGGGCCCCCCTCCCAACCCAAAAAACCCCCCCCCCCCCTCCCTTTAAAAAATTCCCCCCTTCCCCCCCTTTTTTCTTTAAAAGTTTTTCCTCCCCCCTTTTCCTGAACCCCCAAAAATCCCGGGAAAAACCCCCGTTCAC